TAAGATAGCTAATATGGTACAGCTTCAATCCTATTAAACTTTCAATGATGTATGCAAGCTTGCCCTTAAGGTAGAGAGATAACAAAAAGAAGCCAATGATAGCAACTTGAAGTTTTGGGTCTTGAAAAGGTAAGCCTCAGTCTAGTGAACAAACTAAAAGGTGTTTTGAATGTCAAGGGCTTGAACACATTACCTCAAAATACTCAAACAGGAAGATTATGACTTTAGTAGAGGAAGGCTTAGAGAAAAATAAAGAGGAGTTGGTTGAAGATGATCAAAACTTTAAAAAGAAAGAAGAGGTAACCTATGGTGATTATGGAGCATCCTTAGTTATACAATGTAGCTTAAGTATTGCACCTACTAAGAAAGAAGATTGGTTGTGTAAAAATATGTTTCACACTCGGTGTACTGCCCATGAGAAGGTATGTGATGTTATAATTTATAGTAAAATTTTTAAAAACTTTGTTTCTACCTTTATAGTGCAAAATTAAGCCTCAAGACAGTGGATCACCCCCGACCATATAAGCTATCTTGGCTACAGAAAGAAAATGAAATTAAGGTTAGCAATAGGTGTTTAGTTCTTTTTTCCATAAGAAAAAATTATAAGCATGAAGTGTGATGTGATGTAGCTTTGATGGATGCTTGTCATTTACTGCTCGAAAGACCTTGGCATTATGATAAGAGGGTTATTTATAATAGTTACTACAACACTTATACATTTATGAATGATGGATGCAAAATCATCCTAGGCCTACCAAGCCTATGGTGATGTCCAAACCAACCAAAGGGGAAAGAAGCAACTTGTTTACCAAGGCTAATTATAGAAAGAAAATTAAGATGAGTGGTACTATGTATGCATTGGTGTTGATTAAGGAGAATAAAAATAGTAAGGAGCCTTCTGCAATGATACAATCATTATTGGTAGAATTTTAAGATATTGTTCAAGAAAAGTTATCAATTAGTTTACCACTAATAAGGGACATTCAACACTATATAGACTTTATCGCAGGAGCTATTCTACTTGACAAGACAGAAATTTTCTTAAGGAGTTATGTGGGAAAGAAACTAAAAAAATGAAAACTTATTTTACTACAAGAAGAGTTTACCTACAACCATTCACCAAATCAAACCATTAGTTGTAACATTTTTAAATTGTTCTTATTAAGAATGCAATTTATCCTTTAGATTTAATTCAACTTTATGCTAACTAGCATTTTGATGATGTAAAAGAAAAAGCCAAGAGTATCAAAATATTTCATGAACAGGTTCAAAATAGAATTTTACAAAAAATGAGAAATATAAAAAGGTAATAATCATGCATCAAAGATATGTAAAGTTCAAAGAATATGATTTGGTGTAGGATTGCTTGCATAAAAAAAGATTTTCACAAGAAAATTTGGTAAATTACAACCTAAAGCAGATAGCCCATTTCAAGTTTCACAATGCATTAGGGAGAATGCTTACAAGATTAAGCTTCTCGACACTTATGAAGTATCTTCTACCTTCAGTATTTCTTATTTGTCACCCTACCATAGTGAGAATACTAGTTCAGACTTGAGGATAAATATTTTTTAATCAGAGAAGTTGACACTGGAGTATTTGCACATTATACAACTTAGGCTGAACTAAGGCAGACTTATCCAAAAATAAGATAGGCCTATGCTTGGTCCAAATCTACTAAAAAAATACATAAATAAGGTAGGCTAGAAGAGAAAAATTGTGTTCACACTAGCTAAAAAAAATAGCATGAATATAAATAGAATTGGAGTCAGATTCATTATCATGTAATCTGTAAGAATAAATGGGCAGAATATGTTCACATGCAAATCTCATGATTTTAGGCACAATTATAGTAATACAATTTGAAAATTTCCATGCTTAGAGGGATGTTCCTAGCATATATATTTTCTATTATTCTTTGGTAAAATGGAGAATAGAGTTTTCTTTATCCTTAAGCAATCTTTTAGATTATTCTTCAAGTTCTGTATCTCTTAAGTGAATATCTTAGAGTGGTGAACTTATATTATTTTGTATCCTTGATTAGAATTCTTAAGATGGTATTTTGTATCCCTTAGTTTTTAGTCTTAGTGGTGAACTTTTTATCCCTTTTAATCCAATAATCATATTCTGTCATTATTCAAATTCTTATGAGTTATTTTCTCTGTGAGTTTTTTCTATTCGCAGTTAATCTTTGCATCTCAAACTTCAATTCTCAGAATCAAAAAGTATAGACAAGGTGCAAACTTAATGTTCTGTGGATTCTATGAAGACTTCTGTTAAAAATACTTTCAGGATAAGAAAATATGCAATCTACTTATATGTTTATGAATATGCACAATACGAAAAGAATAAGCAAGACAAGAAAATTAGTTAGTCATCTCAATATAAAATAAAGAATAAACATTATAAAGTAAATAAAATAGTAACATGACTTTATATTTTGAATTAACTATAAAGGGTGAAAGGACATGGCTTTACCTATGGTTAGACTCTTAAGTTAACTATATGTGGTTTGGACTATTTCTAAAAGGCTCTCAAATTGTTTCTTATATCATTGTCTATTACAAACTAGTAAGGCACTCCAATCCTTGCCCATTATAAGCAACAAGCGAAAATGGTTCATGAGTAAGAGTATTTTGCTAACCCATATAGAGACATGAAATCTTACGAAAGTGTAGGTGCTTTATTTCCTCCTAAAGGATAGAGCTTAGGTATAAAGCTCATGTTATGCACATGTATATAAATGATAGATATATGAAATAAATGAATAATTAAATGAAATAGAAGCAAGGAAAAGAAAAAAAGAGGAAAAAAACTCGAATTTATTAAGCAAGGCTTAGATAATAAGAAATCATTTACTGGCCTAACTCCTAATTGTCCCTTATGGAGTCACCAAACTGTCATAACATATAGATCCATAGACCTATAGCTAGACATGGATTAGAGAGTCACCACTAATCTTTTTTGTTTAGGTGTGATTGGCAACTTGATAGAATCTGTCCCACTTAAAGAGGAGTCTTAAGATTAACTTAGGTATCTTTAAATAATAGATTCTAATCTATAAACCAGATTTTAGGTTCAGGATTACGGTTACATGTGAAGAATGTTATAGCACGCCCCACAGCGCCTATCCAAATGATGGTACTAGTTTGATTTCAAATTATCCAAGCCTTAAATATGTTTATAATTTACCAAAATATTTAATATTGAAAATTGATCTTAAAATTACTCCAACAGTTTAGTCGTAATTTAAGATAATTCTTTCACCTTAAGAGTATTCATGGAGACTAGTATTCCGTCCTGAAGAGGCTCTATCGTCAGATTAATTAATGTATTTTATCCATAAAAATAATTAGTAAAATCTTCCAATAGTTTTGTAGGATTTACTTTGATATAGATCTCTCAATAGTTTAGTGAGTTTTTATTATAAGATTATTTTTTTAAAAATGCATTAAATCTTTCAATAGTTTGGTAAGATTTAATTTAAGATGCAAATCATCCAATAGTTTGGTAGGATAAAATACAAAATATTTTATTAACAATTATTTTGTTTTTGAAAATTGATTTATGAAATTCTCTAATAGTTTAATCGAAATCATATAAAATTAAATTCATGAAAAATCATTCAATAATTTGGTGAATTCATGAATTATTTGAAAGAGATTTTTTTCATTTTTTATATTTTTTTGGCTATTTTCCAAAGAATAATAAATTGAAATTTTATAAAATATTTAATAAATAATAAATTGCTCAATTTAAAAAAAATTAGTAAAATAAAAATAAAAATAAAATAAAATAATGCAAAAACTTAAAAAATGGTAAAAAAATAAAAAAATAAAAAAAACCTGCGATCAGGTTGAGTTAAACATGCAAGTATAGTGTGGGTTGACGCATGGATCTAGGTTGGTTGAAATGGTGTCATTTAACATTGGTATAAAAGCCAACCCTTCAGTCTTTTCTTTAGAAGTGCCCGTTCTCTCTCTTTCTAGCCAAATTTCTTTCTAAAAAACCTAAGAACAAGCCACCGAAAATTGGGTAATCCATCGATTTCTAAAAAAAGTCACCTGAATTTGGCCAAAAAATTCAAAGTTCACAAAAAAATTCAAACATTCAACCCGGAAAAACCAATTTTTCTCAAATTTCTCAGAAATTTCTAGATTTTTCTAGAAAATTTAACCTAAACTCAGATACTTCAACCTTTCAAACTTTCAACCCAAAATCCGTAAACCCTAAAACCTAAAAATTTTTAAACCAAAATATTTCGTCCAAAAAATCAACTCATCGAAAACTCTAAATCCAACAATATTTCCTTCCTAAAAATCAACTCGTCTTTTCTCCAAAAATTCCCTCCTCAATTTCTCTTCAAAATTGTGTTCAAGTTATAAGCTACTTTGATAGAAATTTTAAGGTTGAGATAGAATCAATCCAGGCTTAAATACTGGGATTGGATTCTACCCAAACATGATTTTAGGCCTAAGTCTAGAAAGTTGTTTGATTGATTTGATCCTGGATTAAAAGTCCTTTGATTATGCAAATCGATTTCCTTTTGTTTCGATTGATTCCAAATTCAATTTCTTTATTCAATCATAGATTATGAGAAAAAAAAAGAAAATAATACTAATAATAATAATAATAATAATAATAATAAACATCAACTGACCCCGGACACAGATGAGTGTCTACACTTAAAAAGTTTTTTTTTTTACCTCATATTATCATTTGGAGTTAACCACATTGGGAGTAAACATCATATTAGTTATCAGATTATAATTTAAATATCACATTAGAAATTTTTTAATTTTAAGTATCACATTGAATATTTCATTATAATTCAAGAACTATTCGTAACATTAATTCATTGATTTATCCATCTATTAATACAGAAGTGAAAATTTTTAAAAATGATTATACTAGTAACAATATTTGGAAATTATTTTCCGGGTATGATATTGTTTACCCTAGCGACCACAATCCACTCCTTGAAGCCTTCACCATGTGCAATGGGTTCATTCCAATGTTCTTCTCCATCAAAGCTTCAGTTTGCAGCCCTTTACATAGCTTTAGTACTAGGCTCTCTTGGCATTGGGGGCACAAGGTTTACAATTGCAACTATGGGAGCTGATCAATTTGACAAACCCAAAGATCAAGGGATATTTTTCACTTGGTATGTTTTGGCCTTATATGTCGCCAATTCTATTAGCTTAACAGCTATCGTCTACATTCAAGACAATGTGAGTTGGGGTCTAGCATTCGGTATTTGTGTCGTCGCGAATGCTATTGCTTTGATACTATTTTTGTCGGGGAAACGCTTTTACCGATGTATGAAACCTAACGGAAGCCCATTCATTAGCATTTTGCGTATAGCATTTGCGGCGGTTCGAAAGAGAAATGTATCAGGCACTTATGGAAATCAAGACTATTACTATGGAAGTGTTGAGACGACAAATATCTTGAAAAATGGTCCCAGTAAAAGTTTCAGGTACGCGATTGAATCTTTATTCTATTTAATCAACAAATTTCTTAATATCAATCTTTCAAAATATTATCTCACTTCTATTAAATATTTAACTTTTTTATGGTTATATAATAAAATTAGACATATTTAATTATAGTCGGTTGGTTTTAATTTGAATATTTGATATAGTATTAGATGGCAGGTTTTTTAAGGATTTTGTGTTTGTTTACACTTGATGGGTCTATTAAAACAACATTATCCCATATCTGTTAAATATATATTGGATTTTCTATGTGATTTTATATTTATATTGAATTTTTTCACTTAAAGTCAAAAAGTTAATTAAACGCTATTATTATGTATAACCTTTGTTTTAAATTTGTATCATATATAATTCATGCTTTATGTGAAAACGAACTCATTCTTCTCTTACCTTGGGTTTTCATCTGTCATCTTTTTAAATTTTGATCAAAAACTCATTTTGCACATGAAATTTTTTTTATCAAATTGTTAATAAGATTTTCAAACCTTTTAGTGTGTATTCCAATCTTTGATATCTCAATTCCCAATTATTTCATTTGTAACAATTAAAGAAAGGTAGTTGAGAAGACTAAATCTAATTATAAGAAGTTTTTTTATTCCCTATAACACGATAACAATGATTTTATATGCATGTCAACATTTTTACACATTCAACATTTTGATGCAAGTTTAACAAATTATAAAATTGTACTTGTATCTCCCATCCTCAAATAAAAAAAAAAAAAATCAAAGAACTTATCTAAGGCAAATGCCATGAGGTATATATGGGTCCTGTTTCCTATACCCTACAATTTCTATCATTGGATAATTATTTGACGGGCTTTGATGCATTTGTGTCATTTTCATGCAGATTCTTGAACCGTGCAGCGCTAAAAATTGAAGGTGATGACAATCAATCGAGTTGTTCCGGTGCAAGATCATGGAAGCTATGCACGGTGCAAGAAGTAGAAGACCTCAAAACACTACTCAAGATCATGCCACTATGGTCAAGTAGCATTCTCTTGAGTACCACTATAGGTATGCTTTACAGCCTGGTGATCCTGCAAGTTCTAACCATGGATCGACACCTGGGATCACACTTCAAAATCCCAGCCGGTTCTTTCCAACTTTTTAACCTACTAGCCACGGCTCTATCAATTTTCATCATCGATCGCTTCCTCCATCCAACATGGCAAAAATTCATCCCTCATTGGACTTTGACACCACTTCGACGAATTGGGATCGGCCATGTCATCAATATCCTTGCCATGGTTGTGTCTGCCCTAATTGAAAAGATACGTCTCCACGTGGTCCGGATCCATCAGCTCTCCAAGCAACCTGGCTCAGTGGTACCCATGTCCGGCCTATGGCTTGTGGTGCCACTCACAGTTTTAGGTATTGGTGAGGCACTTCACTTCCCTGGACAGATTGCATTGTATTACCAAGAATTTCCAAAGTCACTAAAAAGTACTTCCACAGCAATGACTTCGTTGCCAATTGCAATTGCGTTTTACCTAAGTACGGCGCTCACAGATTTGGTTCGAAGAACAACAGGGTGGTTGCCGGACAATATTAATGAAGGGAGATTGGATAATGTGTTTTGGATGTCGGCAGTGATTGGTGGGGTGAATTTGGGATATTATTTGGTTTGTGCAAAGTTGTTCAAGTACCAAAATCTAGAGAAGCCTAACGATACTGCTGGCGATCATCTTCCTCATTAGAAGGAGAAATTTTCTGATAGGGGTATAATATTTGTGCTAGTTTGATTGTAATTAAAATTTAAGTTTGTTTCCAATTTAGATGTAATTTCCAAGGTACTCACATGCTCTTGTATGAATTAGATTGCATGCATCAATAGAATCAATTAATTATTATTATGCCTCAAAATCTTTTGAAACCACCTAAGTAAAATTGACCTTTTTTTATTTTTTTTATAAAGGATGTTGTATCCTATAGATGAGAGATAGATTGTAGGTAGTGCGATTTGCACTCTAAATCTGATGAATATCATTTTTTAAGAATAACTGTATAAATCAATTAGATTATACTTCATATTTTTCTTTACCTTTTTAATTAACTCGTGAGTTTTATAAAAAAATGCATGAGAAGTGAAATAAAAAAAGATCATGAAGAAAATTAAATACGGACATGAATTTCCATTATTATATGCCAATGTTAATCATAGCAACAATGAATAATAATTAACATGATAGGATTCACAACCAAAAAACAGTTACAATAGTCTATTTGTTCATAGGATTGTTATATTTATATGCTGCTGGTAAAAAATCGAATTAAGTTTCATGGAAGATGTTAGGGTTTGATCCTCCGTAGTGATGCCTTGGGGATCTTACGCACGAACTTTCGAGACCAACCTGCTTTCCATTGATTTGAGAACTTGGTTTTGGACTTCCCATTCAGAACTATTTCAAGGTCTGAAGCAGAATTTAGAACCAGCCTTGCATATAGCGGCTGCTCCCCCGCTGGCACTTCATGTATCTCAACTCTCCTTAAATGAAATTTTCCCCAAATTTCCTGTTGCCGAAGATCACAAAGGGAAACAAAACATATAATTCTAAGTCATATATAAAAAAAAAAAAAGTTTATATCAATCAAGAAATGAATATTAATGTTGTTGCGAGGGTACGGAAGCCCCAAAACTAACAATATTTCGTGACAGTCGCAATCCAATAATCCTTGCATCAATAATCACAATTTAATTTTATTTCAATATTAAAATTCGGGGAAAAGTTTGTATATACCTAGCGAAGAAATCTCTTACTTCATCCTATGTAATGGGTACCTTGGAGTATGTTAAGAAAAAAGTTCTATCATCTGCTGGCACTTCAGTATTATTAATTATTATTATTATTCTCTTCCAAGCTGTTTAACCAAATAATGTGTATAAGGTTCAATAGTTCCTCCATTTCATTGTTCAAAGCCTGTGTTTGAGCCCAAAGGCTAAGATCATTAGGATCAAATCCTTGGAAAAGCCCGAATAGGCAGTGTTGGTATTAGGGCTAATAATTTGCTGATTTCCTATGTTCTGATCACCAAAGTCTCCATAAACAGGCAATAATGGCTCCAAATTTTGTTGATCAGTAGCCATTGGATCGAGTAAACCAAATGCTTGTCGCATTATATCGTCAAAGGCTCTAAGACAAACATCCTGAACAAGTTGAACAATCCCACGAATAATAATATCAAGACGATGATCATGAAAGAAATGAAGAGAAATCTGGTTTTTCGTCAACTTTCGAATCAAAGGATTGCTATGGTTAGTGCCTTCGAAATGACTGAAGGGAACTCATCAGTTTTTATACAATTCAAGCATTGGTCAGCCTCATCAGCCAATGCATTAATAAGGTTATCAGGCCAGTGCTGGATGTCGTAAACCAAGGTTCATGCATGGTGCTACAGTGTTCGAGCCAAAAGAACAGAGCCATGACGTGCATGGACTCGCCTGGATCACGTCAGAGGTTGAAAACAAACCTGGCGAAGATGGTTCGATCGAAGGTGTGGAACAGCTTGATTTCTTCTTGGGAAATTGTTGGATTCCCCGAAGAAGAAGAAGATGATGATGAAGCCTTTGAATTTTTTAAGGAAATTGAGAAATTGGGTTGTTCTCAAAAGTTTGCTTCGGGGATTTATAGGAGTGATCAAAGGGTGCCATTGAAGAGGCTTTGAGAATTGAGTTGTGAATTTTTTGAAGAGACGCTATTTTCGATTTTTCCAGAGAAATGGACGATTTGAGAGGGTCTCTTTGTTAAGATTTTTGAAGGCGACGGTCCAATTGTGGGGAGGTTTCGTTTGGTTGAAAGGAAAAAATCAAAATTCATCAAAATTATTTGGTAGAAATATGTAATTACAAAACTCAATATGTTATGAAAAATTAATACTTTAAAACAGATAAGATAACGTATAATGTTTCGACATTACATGGAGTTTGATTTTATGCTTTTTTTTATTTCAAATTTTTAATGTGGATTTAAAAGACTTAAATTTCGTAATTATCCTTTAATTCAATTCATATAGTATTAAAATTATAATTTAAAAATTATGAATTCAAAAAAATTTATGTACATAATAATTAAATAAGCATAAATAACAGTTAAGCAAGTAGTAAGGCACAAAAGATTTAATGATAAATTAAAAAAGAAAAAGAAAAAGACTTAAATCGCATTTGGATTGAGAAGCAGCCTGTGAATTGCGCTAATTGAAATTGTTTGGATATTAGATAGCGCAGTGTACGATCGCACTATGAATACTTTTTGGACTGAAGGTACAATGAGTCACTGCCTAGACTTTTTTTTATTCAAAAATTTTAATGTACAATAATTATTTTAAATCACGATTAATTTAAAATTAAATCAAATTAAATTTCATCAGAAAAATAAGTTTTCTTGACGTCTTTTTTTTTATTTAAAATTGAGACCATGCTTGAGGGGAACAAATTATTCATTAATTTTAGTTTTTAATTTTTTTATACATATTTTGTATTTATATTTAAATTGGTTTATTTTTTATATTTTATATTTCATATACTTAAATTTATTTTGTTAAATAATTATTTATAATTGTTATAAGTATTATTTTTTAAACATTAAATATTTCAATGTATTTTTATAATTTTTAATATTTAAAATCTTAATTATTATTTTAATATAAAATAATATGTCAATATTTTTATTATTAAAAATTATCAATTTTTAAAATAAAAATATTATTTAACATAAAAATAATTTTAATAAATTTTAATTATCTATTAAATTTATAAATATTAAATAATTTAAATTTTTTATTAATATCTTAAATAATTATTTTTTCACTAATTCGTTTCATTGCTATTATTATATTTTTATTCAAATATATATTTTATCATTAATTTCAATTTTCTTATTATAATAACTAATCTCATTATAATTATTATTTTTAATTTTACGAAACTCATTCTTACTGTCTATCAAAAACCCTTATTTGAAATAATCTTTTCCTTTTAAACAAAATTTCATCCAAATTCATCATTTAATTGAAACGCTTTTTATGATTTTTCAAAATATCTACATACATGCACGCATAAATATGCATACAAATAATAAATAATAAATAATTTATTTAGAGAATAAAATTTTAAACTCAACTTCATAAAAAATGGGTAGGAAATGATTGGAGGGAAGGTATCACCTCAGCTGTATAGAAGGAAAAAATTCCTCAGGCCAACGCCGCCGAAGAAAAATGAACAGTGCGAGATTTATCTTCAGCAACGGCGTCGTTTCATATTCCTCGGAGGCTCCTCCGGTCGCCACCTTCCTCGAATCTCTTCCAGGTACTCAATCCAAACATCTTTATTCTTCAAACATTTTTATTTCTTTCCATGTAACAAATTTTATTTCTTTCTTTAATCCAGATCTTATTCAAAATTTTGCAGAAGCTTTATTTAATTATATAAAATTCTGTTGGTTATTTATTTATTTTCACTTTCAGGGGCTTACACAACAACTAGAACACACGAAAATGGGACAACCCTTTTGTTTTGGGAAAGGCATTTAAAAAGACTGGCGAATTCTACAACAATTCTACTAAATTCGAAGCCTGAACACATATTCAAGCCAACCAAGAAAAACCCATTATTTTCCTCTCCTTTATCAATCACTTCATCATTGAAATGGGAGTCAAGGATTCGATCATTGGTTTATAATTCAATGAACCAAGTACTACCCATTGCTCTGAAGGAGAGGTCTGATGGGCAGGAGTTGGCAATTACGGCTCTCGTTTGTGGGGATTTGGAGAAGTTGAAGGAAATAGAGAATGTGGTTGATGATGGTGATGGGATTTTTCATGTTCTTGATGTCCATTTGCACATAGGGAGTTACGTTCCTCCGGTGTTTGGGATAGAAGAAAATGGGGCACATTTGGCTTTGGTGGGTCGTGGGAGGGATGTAGCAGCTGCTAAGTATTCGGCTTGGGTAAGGTTAGTATTGCATTTGAAACAAAACGAAGTTACAGTTTTGAGGAAAATGTTGAAACTTTCAGATGGAGGTGAAAGAAACATGGTATTTTTGACTTAGCTAAATTCTGTTAGGTTTGTTGGAATTGTTTTTATTTGCTTTTGAAATTTACATACTTGTCAGGATATATATATATATATATATGTATGTATGTATGTATGTATGTATGTATGTATGTTTGGAATGTCTGGTTTTCATTATTTCTTGTTATGATTTTCTGTGAATGAACTTTAATTTGAGAATTTTGCATTCTAGGTAGGTTACGGAAGCCTCTGGACAAATTGAGGCCTCCATCAGTAGTGACTGAGCTCTTGTTGTCAAATGATGGTGATCGGATACTTGAGGGCTGCATAACAAATTTTTTTGTAGTTTGCCAAAGGGTGAGTGGTTAAGAATTCAAAATCTACTTCTGGGATGGGTTTACTTTCTTAAACTTTGTTTAGATCAGATGGAAGAGTTCTGTATTAGAAATGAGAATTATGTGAATGACTTGCCATTTCTGAGCATTAAGTTTGGAGAATGATTAGATGATCTACAAATGACACTTGGAGATTTTTCATGTATCAAATGATTTTCTGGTTATGGATGTTAAATTGTGAGGAAGTTTTGAATAACGGGGTGGTCTGGCAATCAAATCAGCATAGCTGAATTGGAGAAAATAGTGACCTTCAAGATCTTTACGATCTTTTTCAATTCTTTATTGTCTTTTTTTTTTTTTTTGCATTATGCTTGTTGTGGTGCTGTGCTGTGTTCATTTAGCTATGGTGTTTGTGTTTCCTTAGTTTTCTATTAATTTTATAATTTTTTTTGCCATTGTGGAATATGCTTTTAGGATAAGGATGAAGCTGAGGGGAAATACCTGCATGATAACGGTAATGTGTATTCTGTTGAAGTACAGACAGCGCCCATCACTGACGGTGTCCTTCCTGGAGTTATTCGGCAACTAGTTATTGAGTAAGCTCTTCTTCTCATGTTGCCAACTAAATTTTATTTGTTTTTATTAGTTTTATATCAGGTGATGGAGGTATCATTTTAGCACTATAGCTTAACAGCTGGAACGTATTATTTCTGTTTCACTTTTAGGAGAAGTTTTTAGCCTAAGCCTCTTTCTAATCTCTCTCTCATGGTTTATTGTTGAAAGGTAGAAGTAGTTCCTTTAGAAGAAAATCCTTTAGGAGGTATGGACACATTTATTTTATTGTTTCCATTAAAGATTTTAGATTCTTACACGATTGATCACAGGTGCAGTCTTCCTGAGGTGGATTTTGTTGGCTGTTAGCTCTTGGATAACGATTTTCTTACTATCTAATCAAAATTCTTCTCCAGTTCATTACATACTAGGTGGCTAACAATTTTGTTAGATTCAATCAAATAAATAACCAACAACCTGTTATTTCACTTGACAGAAGAGTTAGGGAACTTTAATTAATTCATACTTCCCAATTCGAATTAATTGAATAGCCAGCTTTTTCTGGATCTACCATGCTTAATTGTGGAAGTTTCTATATGTGCAGAGTATGCCTGAGCAAGGGCATCCCAGTGTGTGAAGTTGCACCTTCATGGGAAAAACATGGACTTTGGGAAGAAGCATTCGTTACAAGTAAATTATTTTTTTGTTCATTCCTTTTATTATGGTTCCCATGTACCATCTTTTATCATAGGGATGCCATCACCTGTATATGTTGACAACTCCCTTTTGCATTTCTCAATGCCAGTGACTTTTTCCGTGTGATTAGACTAGGTGCGGTCTTATGAGCATGAACGAACAATTAAGATCTATTATTTGCTGAATTTGAAGTCCAATAATATCTAGCCTTTGATTTGTATCTCAAGGCTGAAGAGCGAAACCAAAAAGAGAAAATCAGTTGAAATTATTTAACCATGCAAAGCTGTTACATAATCCTTCAAATTTTTATTTTTCCAGCACTGGTTTGTTTGACAGACAAAATTGGCCCAATGATAGATGTTTAGTTACATTGGAACTTTAAAATAGAGGATGACGATTGTCAAGTAGCTTATCAAAGCAATTGTTCACTTCTTGTTACAAACTGGATTATAATTCAACATTTTTTTTTCTTTGTTTAGTTGTCTAATATGTAGGGTTTTTTTTAACTTCGTCATTTTTTCATGCTATCACATATTATGATTTGATTTAAGTTTCTTTTACTATAAAAGATTCTCAATAAGTGGAATTGTTTTGCAGATAGCTTGAGAGTTCTACAGCATGTGGAGACGATTAAAGTACCACATTCATGGGAATCTCTTCAATCAAAATGTTCTGAAGAAATATCATGGATGGAGAAAAAATTTGAGGTGTGTGATCTTTTCCTACAACGGCATTGGTAACCTGGGATTTTAAACTGTGCTGTTTTCTCATAATTAACTTTTTTTCCATTTTTTCTTTCATTGAAATAGCAGGGTCCTGGGATGATCACAAAAGTCATCCAGGTAAATTTTGATGAGCAGATTATTTTAACTGTACCATCTAGTACAAAAGTTCATGCGCGGAACAATTGCATATATCAGGAATAAAATAGATAGGAAGCTAGAAACCATCTAGAACATTTAACTATGGAATGCCATTTTGCATCACAAGCCTCATTTCTCAATTTGTTTTGCACCCAATGCCGGGAAAAAAAAAATCTGCTTCACTTATTTAATTGTTTGTTTTATGTTCTCATGGAGGAACAGAAAGAGATCATGGAGAGAGCCTGCACGGAAAGGCACCCATTAAATGAGTTCGAATAATAGACAATGGAATTTCGTGTGCTGTAAGATCTCCATGGACAAGCAAGACAAAAAGATCACATAGTGCAAAATTGATCCCTAAGATGACATTATTACTCGCATCACTAGCACGAATTCCAGGTGTAAGTGTTTTGTGTTGTGCCTATTACACATGCTGGGCAAATTTTTTTCAGGTTGAGGAGCTCCTACCGATTCTAGGACTTAGATGATTAACCTGAAATGTGATTGGTACAAAGTGACATTTTCTGCCTTTGCCTTAAAGTATTTACACATGTACAATCAGCCTTTTGTAATTTTTGACTGTTAGATAAGTTGGCTAATTAGAGGTTTCTCCCCAGACTTTTGACCATCCATGCTGCTTGTATGGTGACAAGAATTATACTTCCATTTTGACTTCTATTTTTGCCTTTCTTTGATATTTGTCTTGTGGGAAGTTTTTACCATGCTGAATATTTTCAAAAGGCTGCAACTTGTGGATATGGACAAGTATTGAGATTTGAATTTTAAATATATTGAATATTATTTTTTAAAAGTGATTACATGAACTAACTGAATTAGATTTAATTATACTAAATATTTTATTTGTAGAGAAATAAACTAGTTATTATGCCTGCTACTTCAATTGCTTTTTAGCAATATATGCGGAGCAATGTAACCCCTGCGGTAGTTAAGCCCTCATTGAGGTAAAAAAAAATTGTGAAATTTCGGCTCCATTTGTTTTGTAGAAAATGATTGTTGCATTTCAAGTGTTTGTTTAAATAGAAAATTGGTTGGTGAACGAAAAATAATTTACTAATCAATAAGGAATAAAATTATTTTTTTAAAAATTATCTTAGTGATTTAAAAAATTAAAGACATTTTTCGAAAAAAAGTTATTTAAGAGTATAATTATTTATTAATACTTTTTAGCATTATTTTATTTATAAATAATATTATATAAATAAATAATATTATATTAATAAATAATATATTAATATATTAATAAGTAGTATACTATTAATAAATAATATATTATTAACAAATAATATAACAATAAATACTATTAATTTAATTAATAAATATTATAATAATATATGAATAAATAATTTTATTTTAAGTATTTTTATATTAATATAATATTAAATATTATTAAAATATAATTATTTTTTAATATTAATAATTTTAATAATAAATAATTTCAATATATTTTAATAATAAATAATTTTTATTATTTTAATAATTATATTAATATTATTTTTAAAAAATTCAAAAAACAATCTAACAATAAAAAATATTTTTTATTAACTCACCTAAACAACAAAAAATCTCTTTTAATTCAAAAAATATAAGTATTCTTCAAAAATAATTTTTCAAAAATAATTTTTTACGAACCAAACAAAACATTTTTAGTCGTTTAATTTATTTGTTATTGAAATTAATATTAATTTTATCAAAATAAATATTTTAAAAACTTATTTTAATAATTAAACAAGAGATTAATGATTTGAAATATGAAATAATAATTTAATTATGTATATGAAAAAAATGTATTCAAAAAAACAAAATTATTATATAACGTCTTGAAAATATGATATAATAATTGTAAAATTGTTATTGTTGTTTTTAATTTAATTTATTAATATATTTGAGTTAAATATAGATAAAAAAATTTTATTACGCGATTATTAAGGAAGCATACATGGTATATCTTTTTTTCAAATTACCACTCAATCTTGACGTGGTAAGAACTATAAATTTTTTTACCATAAAATGAAGGTTTTTTTTTTTTGTAAAATTTTAAGTATAAATTATAATAATAATAAAATATTACATTACATTTATATAAAAAAAATTACTCACTAATCAAATAAACAAGTATTAATTCTAACAGTGTACTTGATAGAATGGAAAAGTACAAAAATAGACAGGGGAGAGTGAAAAAGTAAAAATATATGTATATATATATATATATGTTTTTAGTGTTTTTAGTAGGAAAAAAAAAAGGAGAAAATGAAAAAATGTAAGTGTTGCATATTTATAAAATTATTCATTATTTTTATTTTTATTTTTATTTTAGAAATGTTATAATTATAAAATCATAATTCTTTTTATTTTTCAATTCTATCAAGTAATTGATGAGAAAATTTATATTTTTTTCAACCTTTTTATCTTTACAACTATACGAAGAAATTTTCTATTTTTCATCCTTTTACTTTCTTCTTTTTCAATTTTTTATCTTTTGTACCAAATAAAGCCTAAATACAGTGAGATTTTGTGTTTTCAAATAAAGTTGATTTACTTTTTCTGTCATTTCTTTTTATTTTGTATTAATTATTAAAAAATCTAAAAATAAAAAAAATTCTTTTTATTATTTTATAATCTTTAAGTTTTAATATATCATAAAATTTTGTAGATAATATTTAGAATAATTTTTCAAGTATAAAAAAAAATAAAATAAATTTTCATTTTAAAAAACTAATAATAGAATTATTAAAAGAACAAAAACTAAATAATAATAATAATAATAATAATAATAATAATAAAAGGGCATGGATGGTTTAATGATCGAAGTCAGTAGAAACAGACCAAAAACGTGGGTATCAAGAATTGGTACAGAGCGCAGATGCTATAAAGGGAACTTTCTTCTTTCCTTTCATGAAATAAAATTAGAAAAAACGCCAACGGTTATGATAAAACCAGACCCAAAATTTTATAGTTAATCAAAAACAAAAATCCCAATCTTAATTTGTTATTCTCTCCTTGGTTTCTTCTCCATCGTCAGATCCTCTATCACTCATTCTCCCAAATAAAAACAAATCCTACTAACCATCTCCACCAATCCCCTCTTCTCGCGCCAAATACAAAAAAAAAAAAAAATTTGTTCCTTCCTTTTCCTCTCTCAGGTTCCCTCTTTCTTTCTTTTTAAAACCCTTATATAATTGTAGTATGTATGCATCAGGATATGTCTTTGTTTTTGAAAATAATGGAAAATCATTTATGGGCATGTACTTTTTTATGTATGTATGTATGTATGTATTTTTTTTGATGTATGTGAGCATCTAAGTTTGTTTACTTTTACATATATGCATCTTGGTATCCTGTTGTTTGTTAAAATACTGGTAAATAGGCAAGGTTTTTGTATGTATGGCATGACATGATTGTATTTTTATGTATGTATGGATGGATGGATGGATGGATGGATGGATGTATGAATTTCGGTATGATTTTTTATGCATATATGCATCTTGGTATTTCTTTCTTTGTTAAAATATTGAGAAACAATTAATGGGTTTTAGTTTTGGTTTTTGGTTATCTTTTGGTTTTTTTAATCAGTGATTTAGATCTTTTGGGGGCATGGCAGACGGTATGGCAGGGGGGCCAACTAGTCCAGCAGGAGGGAGTCATGAGAGTGGAGGAGAGCAAAGCAGTCCTCACTCAAATCTGAGGGAACAAGACCGTTACCTTCCAATTGCTAATATAAGTAGAATCATGAAGAAAGCATTGCCTGCTAATGGGAAAATTGCTAAGGATGCTAAAGACACTGTCCAAGAATGTGTTTCTGAGTTCATCAGCTTCATCACTAGCGAGTATGTAAAGTCTTAACCTTGGTTTCATTAAATTTTTGGGAATTTTTCTTTTTTTTTTCTACTTTGTTTAATTGTGAATATGGTGACTCTGAAACTGTGGGGATGTGACTTTGAGACTGGTTTGTTTTAAATGTGGTATTCCTATTGGTATTTGGAAAGTTGTAACCTTTAGCTGGTGTTTTTTGACTTTTAGGGTGTTAAAAGGTTTAGTCTTTGAGGCATGTGATATTAAATATGTATGAGAAACTAGGGTATTTGTGTTTTTTATTGCAATATTTTGGTTTTTTTTTTTTAGGAAAATTTTGCTGAAGTTGGAAGTGGCTTGACTGAAGTTTGCTTTACTTCTGAGGGGTGTAATTTTAGTGTTTATGGAAAGTATGGCCCTATTGTTTTGTTGTAATTTTTTGCAGCTTCTTTTGTATATGAACTAGAGATTTGTTTGCCAAATGGTGATTAATTTTGGTGCTTATTTCTCTTCTTTTTCTCTTTTTTACTTTTTATTCAATTAATGTTCTTGGGAAACTTAGTTATGTTTTATATAAATTATAAATTGTGAATTTGGTGTTTCCTGACATTGGTGATGTGATTTTGAGGCTTTCGCTTTTGTTTCCGAAATTTGCTGATTTTCTGGTGTTTGGAAAAGTTGCAAGCTTGACTGGTGTTTTTTACTTTTGGATGGCAAAGGTTTAGTTTTTAAGTGTTTTACTTTTAGTTTATATGAGATAGGGTCCTTGTCTTTTTCATTCTGACTTTCAATGATTTTTGGGTAGGGTAAAGTTTTAGTTTTGAGGTATGTGATTTTGCCTTTTAGTTTAAATAAGAACAAGGGTGTTTTTAATAAGTGCTCTTCCCTTTTCTATTGTGAACTAGAAATTTGTTGTGACTGGTATGAAAGATATCATTGGTTTGCTTGTTGATGTGTTTGACGCTAATGATTATTTTGTTTGGACTTTGATTGGGTGTTAATGGAAAGTTAGGTTTCTGTATATCAATTATAATTTTTTTTTTGTTGGAATTCAGGTTTAGTTTTCTGAAAATTGTTCGGGCTGTTTGTTTTTTAGGGCTAGTGATAAATGCCAGAAAGAGAAGAGGAAGACCATTCATGGAAATGATTTATTGTGGGCGATGGCAACGTTAGGGTTTGAAGACTATATTGAGCCACTTAAAACATACCTGGCAAGGTACAGGGAGGTATGTGGGGCTTTAACTTTTGACATGTTTGTTTATTTACTTCACTTTCTGCTTGATCCACTCTGTGCATTTATCTTAGCCCAGAACCTGTAAGGCTGTTAGAAGATCGAATGGAGGAGTTTAGAAAAGTGAAAATTTTTTATTTTATTCTGCTCCTTTTTGTTTTGTTATCATTGTCCTGCGAATCATACAATTAAATCAACTATGTGAGGCTCAATTGACATGAGTTAGAAGTCCAAAACTTGATGTTTTTTTTTTTTTTTTCCTGACATTTTCATATTAGTGTTGTCTGCCCGGTCTCTATAAATTGATCTGACTATTTTTTTTTCTTTTTTTTTCTTTTTCTTGGGACTGATGTTATTGGAATGAACATGATGCACAGATGGAGGTAATTACACTCTCTTCTTCTCTAGTGCCTCAAGTCCTTCGTTTTGTTTTGGTTGCCTTTGTGTCAGAAATTTCTTATTCTGGCGATTTCACTAGTGTGAGGAATCTTATAAACATAATTTGCATAAATCTTAATAAATAAAAGGGGTTGAATTAGATAAAGCATCCTTGTACATCATAGTATGCTTATCATAATTTGCATCTTTGGGAATTTTTTTCCCCAATGAGGATAGGGTTCTGGAATATTAATGGATGAATGATAGGATTGCAAATATTTTAATTTTCATTAAAAGTTATTGATTGGATAACTACATCTTTGCATGATTTTTCACCTAACTACCAAAAGCTTTACTGTCATTTAATCACATAATGTAGATTACGTTCAATATTAATAGACTGACCCTCTTGTTCTATAGAGTTCCATCAGGAATCACTCAAGAATAGGAGTTTGTGAAAATCTATTATTGTTAGATTAGAAGACCTTTTGCAGAGCTATCACTCCTCCCTTGTTGCCTTTGCCCTGCGCTTTGACTCCTCTCCTAACTACAATTTGGGACAAAAAAAATTTTCATCTAGAATCATTTTGGACGAGTCCCAACAGAAGCAGCCATTTATGCGCGGAAATATCTACATTGATCTTAGGTTATAAAGGGAAAGGGGACAGCCAATGGTCCTTCTTACTTGCTTTCTAGTCAGGGAGAGGCTATTACTTCCTACTGCTCTATGACATTGTAGCACCATGTCCAGCTAAATTGAGAGCTAATACAGTGATGCTCTGATTAGATAATGAGTAATCAAATTTGATCAATCCTGAATCAGAAAGGCTTGAGAACAATTTGCTTGTAGAAAATATTATAACAGCTTTTTACATGTCTCTTAAAAGATTTGGAGATATTACATTCAGATATTGCACTTGCATGTATGATGCATGGTTTTATGTTGAGGTGTTAGCTATATAGGCAGGCTAGCTATAACCTACCCCACCCCACCCCCTCCTATACCTATGATGGTTGCAATAATTAATAACACTACAGGATGATAGGAGAAACCATCAATACTTAGGCATGTAAGATGGTGATTAGCATATTATGTTTAGTCGCCTTTAGCCTATCATAAAGATACCATATTGTCAATTTTAATAGCTTTGAAAAGAGATGCTTACTTTTCAGTGGCTGGATATTATGCAGATTTCATAGTAAACCTTATTTGGCCTGATCTGATTAATATAGGACCACTCTATAGTCTATATGATCAGCTTATCACATAAGGCAAAATGAATTGTGCTTATCTTGTTTACAGAATAGGGAAAATATATGCCACATGTTGCTTGAGTTGGATCAAGGAAGTTTCAAAATTTAAAAACAATGGTTGTCAAGAGCTCAAACTTATGCCAAGTTTGATATTTATCTAGTTAGTTAAAGAAGAAACATGTATGCTTTAGCATTAGCATTAAACTTCTTCATTGTAATGATAATGAAATAGTGAACACATGATTTGTAAATTTTGGAAGCGTCCTCTCTCTCTCTCTAAACCAATCTGTTCTATTTTTGCTAATTTGTCTCTAAACGTATGATGAGAAATAAGTACCATTGTTTTTTTGTCTTAAGGGAAAGAATTGATCTGTTGTAATTGTAATCATCACTTGTATTTCCATAATTCGGATTCCTTAAATCTTGCAGGCACATGGACAGCATGTGATTGCTCCCTCCGTGCAAGGCAATGAGTAGCTGATCCTAGTTTCCTCCACCAATTTTACGAGTATTAGGGCTGGTTAAATTGTTTAATTCAACTTCTATAGGATCTTTCATGTGGATTAATCTTACTTATGCAAAGCTACATACCTTGGGGATTTTTCGGTTAGCTTGTTTTTAAGGTAATTTGGAGCTGTAAAAGTCTCTTTAAGTGCTGTAAATTTGGCTATTTATCTAATACATGGTATATCGCTTTGTGCATTTGAAAAAAGATTGGTATCGAAGATTGAATGTTATATTCTTCATTTTGCCCATATTTCCAAGTGAACGATTTATGATCTCAAGTAAAGAGTTACGAATCTTACATCGATGATTATGTTAGAGTTCGATCATTTTTTAGTTACAAACTTGAATTAGATTTTTGAGAGGATAAATCGAGTTTGATTTATATATTTTTTACTTTTTTTTTATTACTAACAAAGTTGAAAATTTTTAATCTAATCTCATTCTATATTTATTATCACTTGAGCTAAGTTAAAACCATGATTCCCGCAGAAAGTGCAACCTTCACCGACGAATAAAGACATCATCATATGTACATGGCAAGGTAAAGAAGGTTGTGATAGTCATGAGTCATGACTTTCTGACTTGTCTCACAAATCACGGATAGCAGCAGCACGTGACATCATTTTGGATGAAAGGTGGACATGTTAGAAAGCACGTGAGTCCAAGACAAGGTACGATAATAGAGAAAGTACCACGGTTTTTTTTTTTTTTTTTTTGGTATGAAAAGTTACTTGTAGAAAGACACAACACAAAGAAGACAAGAAGAAATCGGTTCTGTCTCATCCCACGAGGTGACCATCATTTCTTGCCTGCACGAGCCAGCCAGCTCATTCACTCACTCACCCCAGTACCCCACTTAGTTTTTCTGACGAGAAGCTGTCTCTCAGTCTCCATTTCCCTCAGCTGTCTAAAATTCCCTTTTGGCTACTTGGCTGGATGCAGCCAATAAAAATCACATCAAACATTGTCACTCCACACTCATGAATTCTTTCTCCCTCTCATCCTCAAATTTCTCTTTTGTTTAATTATCTTTTTCTCTATATATGCTAATTAAATGGAACGATGAAAAAAGGTCGTATTAAGATAAAAATTGTACACTCGATCATTTAATTTAATGGCTTATATATGATTTTTTTTTTCAAAAAGTTGAGTTTGATTTTTTTTCGTCTTTAAAATTTTAAAAGTAATATGATCATAAAAAAGTGTAAATACAAATATATATATATATTGAAAAAAAAAAATTCCTAATCTAGTTTGGAGTAAGAGATGCATGCACCTTCAGATTATCACTGAGCACAATTATACAATCATTTTTAATGGTCTATAAATTAATGTTTTCATACAACATGAATGTGAGCTAATAACTTGGAAAAAAAAAAATCCGTACGAGACTAATGTTTTTAATGTCTATGTTTTAACTCAGATGTATCACACATCTTTTAGGAGATAATATTTAATAAATTTAATATTAAAATTTTAAAATTTGTAATTTTTTTATATTACCATATTATGATATTTTTTGTACTAAAAAAACCCTAAAAACAGCATAAAAGCATTATTAATGCGGAATAATTGATTTTCTTTCGCATATAGACAAATCTCAGTCTCTTCTTACTCCTTCACTCACTTATTTATCTAATTTGGCATGAGATGTAAACACATGCAAATGTTGAAGGGATTCATGGCTCAAAGTGAGTATTCAAGAATTTAAAATGGCTAAAATACTAAAAGAATTCCTAAATTATTTCACTTTTCTTAAATAAATCTCTATATTTTTATTATATTTATATAATTTTTTATTTTTTATTTGTATTTAAATAAGCCTTTATTAAAAAAAAAAAGACAATTTAGATTAAAGATTTATTTAAGTACAAAATAAAAGTTAAGAACTTACATAGATATAAATTAAAGGTTAAAGGTTTATTTTGGTGCAAATTAAAATTTGAAAACCTATTTAGGTATAATAAAAATATAAAGACTTACTTAAATAAATAATAAAATTTAAGAATTTTTTTATTATTTATAGCTACTTTTTATTATCACTGTACTTAATCATTAATATCTATTTCATGAAAACCTTGTTACAACATGCAAACTATTAGTACTATAAATTGACAAATTAATAAAGTTTTTATTTTTTTAATGTAATTTCTGATCTCAATTAAAAAGAAATTTGCTGGAGGCTGAATTAGTTAATGTAATAGACCTATCACAAAAAAAAAAAAAAAAATTAAAGAACGTCGGAATAGACCAGAAATTACATAGACATAATTCATGGTGAAATGATAAATTTTATATTGGGCCAAAGGGGTTAGTTAAGGGCAAAAAGAGCGATGAAACAGGGGATCTGTTTTAGCATGTTATATTAAAGTGTCCTACAATCTTATTAATTGAGAGGCAAGGTGTCTTTCCTTTGCCAACTCACACCACAAAAAGCTCCAGCTCACACCAGTATCACCCCCAGTTGAGCCCTCAACTCCCTATTTTATAATTTGCTTTTATGGCATTTGGCCCAACCCTTCATACAGAGTCACATTCACCCCCAACGTAGTGAAATCAAGAAGAATATCACCTTTTGAAAAAATACTTATTATTCTAAACATTGAGGTTGATTATCAAATTCTCTCTAAGTATAGATAGTAATATAAATACAAATTCATTCAAATCTAAACTCGATTTAAATTTAAAATTATTTAAATTTAAAATAATTTAAATAAAAAAAAATTCCTAACTCAAATTCAAAAAGCATATTGAAATAGTTAAATCTATAAATAAATAATATAAAACAGTAAATAACAAATTTTATAAATATTTACTATATTTCTCAAATGAAACAATTTTTTTTGTCCCTAACCTTTTAATCCGGTGATTAAAAATATTTGACGGAACATCAAGAATTTAATTTTAAATTAATTCTTTTTTTTTATCTGTATTAAAATTTTACTCTCATAATTTTTTTTTTTTTGTCAAAGTGAATAAATTAACCACAGAATAATTGAATACCTTGCAGAGTACAGGCAGGCCACGTTTTTTGTACAAGCCAAAGGGGAAGAGAGATGAGATTTTTTAGTATGTATCTGTTCAGCCCTCACGTGGGCTGGCCTTTGTTTTGTTGAAACTCGAAACAACTTTGAAAAAAAAAAAAAAGTGATTGCAATGATAAAGCCATTGCCATTTTATTCTTTCTGGTTCTTTATGGAATCATGTACATTGGCCATTTTCTAAGTGTAAATCACGCTCTTCTTTTCGAATTATTTTAAAATTTTGAAATTGTTTTTCGTTATAGGAGAAATTGAGACATGGGTAAGAAGGATTCTAATTTTAACCTTTAATATTCGTATATATACCTTAATCATTAAATTAAATATTTGAATACGTAAAAATATTTTCATTTTATGTTAATGCATTTGATCAAGAATTGATCTTAGATCTTAATTACCAATGGTCTATTTAACCTATTCATGAAAGTACATTTAGATCCGTTTTACTTTTAATTTAATATTAAATAGTTTTTTAATATTTTAAATTATTACTTTAAAATTTTAATATAGTTTAACATTAAAATTAAATATATTTAATTTTTTAATATTAAAATATCTTAAGATTAAAATTTTTTGCTCAAGATCCGATCCCAATTGTAACAAGCACACAGGCTGGACAAGTTACTTTGCCCGTGAATAAATTTAATTTTCAAGTGAAATTATTAATTCATTCATATATATTTAAAATTAGAAATAACATTTTAGGCTAGATAAACTACTATTAGTATATAGATTATTTTTCTCAAGATTGAATATATATTTTAAATTATTATTTCAGAAGTTTTTAAATTTCAAAATTAAAAAAATATATATTTTCATCTCTTTTTGTTTATTATATTAATATTTTAAATATATGCTAATAGAATATGTGTGAACCTTTTAATTATGTTGTTAGAGTACAAAATTTTCATTTTTTCCATATATTTTGTACATCATAATATTTTTGAAAGAAAAAAGACAAAAAATTTTAAATTTTAAATCTAATAGAACAAGAATTTTGAAGCAGAAAGTTGAAATTTGAAAAATATTCTCTCTTTTTTTTTTTTAATTATAGGATGGTGAACGGAAAGAAAAAAAAAAGGAAATGTAGGAATGTTGTGGTGTAATCACGCGCCAGTCGAAGAGGAGGGGAGGATCTGCTGTGATGTAATTTTGTCAGTCACGGTCAAGGGAAGACCTTTGACCGTATGATAAATTTTTTCTTTTTGATTAATATAGTTTTCTTTATTAGTTCGTTTTGACCTTTTTGGATCTTTGAGGCCAGAAAAGAAAATTCTTTGCAATAAAAAAAAAAAAAGGCTTTGAGATCAATGGGAATTTAATATCAGGTATTTAATAATTCAAAATTAGTCTCCTAAGAAAATCACAATTGCATTCTATTAAAATGAATGCTCAAAAAAGTTTGACCGCTTTAATTTATTTATTTTTTAATTATTTTTTAAATTACGATTAAATTTTGAATTCTAAACTTTAAATTCTTTGAATTGACTTGAATGACACTGACTCAAAGCTCGACCATGATTGATAAGTACAAGAAATTCACTTTCTCATTTACACTCAATGATCAAACCTTTGAACCTATAGTATCATTTACGAAGAAGTGAAACGAATTTAATAATTTATTGACTAAATATATAATTTAAGACCACACTCGAAAACATTAAATTAAAAAAATGACAATTTTTTATTTTTAAACTATTTTATTCTTTATTTAGTGAAAGAATTTTATTCTAAAATTTCATCATCATAAATTTAAAGAAATAGAAAATTACTATCTCATATAATTTTTTTTTCTATTACAATTATATGGATTTAATCGAAATTTTATATACAAAGATCTCATATGGGCTTTTTGTTAAAAATATTTTTAAAATATAAAAATAATATGATCAATTAAATTTTTAATTAAAAAAAATCATATTAAGCTATTTAAATAATTTAAGGTAATATTTCACTATCAATAGGATTGATTTTAAACTTAAAAAATCAATGCACGATCATTTACCAAGGGAGTAGTTAATTGAGTAAGATCAATCAATTGCCTATGATAGAGGAGATAACTACTATGCGTTCTAGAAAGGCACATAGAAAATTTATCAAAGGAGTAGTCAACTACTTACCTTAGACAACCGATTAGTATGATTGGAATCTATTACTTTATCAATTGCTTTAAGTTTTGAGTATTTTAAAATTAAGGGAAGTCGACTATCCAAAGACAGAATTCGATTGCTCAACTTCATGGGATATTCTAGAAATAGAAAATACAAAACAGTAGTCGACTACCATTAAGAAGCAATCGATTACTCTAGTTGAAAAGTTGTAATTTTCAAAACATAAAAATTGATTCTTTTGAAATGAAAAAAATAATTGTTCAAATGAATTAATATAACTTTAATTATTAAAAAATATAATTTTTTTGATTAAAAGAAGTAAACTTTGATTGAAATAATAAAATTAAATAGACATAACCCTAGAATTCAGTCTCTATAAATAAAAATTATATAAGTTTATTGGAGATGCGATTCTATATATTCAATATAGTTGATAACCTAGAAATTCTTACTTTTTCTCCCATTATTTCTTAAATAAAGGCTTGTTTCTTTGATATTATTTTATTGTAAGAAACCTTGTCAAAGACAAATGTTTTCTTCTCTCATCAATGAATATTTGGTGGTTTGATTTTTCTAAAATAAAATAAATTAAATATAGATTTCATTGTATCTCAGAGATTATTTGATAATTCTTTTTGCATACCGTAATTGATAAGGATAAAATAAGTCTTAAAAAAGTAACATTTACAGCATATCTTAAAGCCAATTCATATATCCTTTAAAAGTTTCATGTTAGATTAAACTAAAGTTTGGAAGAAAATATTACAACCAAAGATATAAGTGAAAGTTCGTCGACAACTTTAAAATTCGTGAATTGCAAGTCTTGAAGCCATTCAATTTAAACAAAAATGAAATCTCTCGATGAAGATGGCAAACATGACAATATCTATTTATCTTTAAATAAATTCCACAAAAAGACCTAAGACAAAGAACTTTGCCTTATTGTTGAGGAAGAGTTTTTTTTTTTTTTATGCATCTCTTTAAGGCAGAATTGATTGGCCATTATAAACCAACAAGTTTTATCCATAGTACAACTCACTTTAAGAAGTACGAAGGTTTAAAGATAAAATCCCAACTATATATATATATATATAGTTTTTTTTTTTGTTTTATAAAATAGGTTACAAACTAAAAATAGGGAAAATATTATAAGAGTTGAAATTCAAATTTAAATTTATTAAATGTTATTTTTTTACAGTTGATTACATGAATTGATAAAACTAAGTTCCAAGTTCATATATTCAACATTCTTTTTTTTTTAGTTTATATATATATATATATAATTGTAATTTGAGAATAGAAAAAATTATTTCATGTATTAAGATTGAAATTTTAGACTTGTTGAATGTCATTTTTTTTAAAATAACCATATAAATAATTGGATTAAGTTTTGAATTTTTCTTTTGATGTTATGAACATTGAACATTCTTCATGACATCTAACCAAAAAACACGTTTTCATGTAAGTATTACAAACCCTTATTAAAGCCATTAAAAACATCTTTTATTTCAACCAAATGTGCCGGCAATTTAGGCTTTCCTTGATTCATGCCTCTGATTTCCATTGAAAAAAAACACCCACCAATTTTTATCACATGGGTTTGTAGAACAAATTATAAAGAAGACAATGAAATTTCCACTTATGAAAGTGTGGTACATCCAATCACTTTTTCTTAAGATGAAGATTCTCCAAACTACTCGAAAAAAATGTCTACATTCATTTTTCATATCCCACGGTCCTTTAATCATTCATTTCATTTTGACTATTCTAATTACGTATCTTTGTTCTTCTATAAAATTTTAAAAAAGATATTCAAATAAGCAATAAAATAAAAAAAATAAAATTTCATCTAACCTCTTATTTTTGGATCATAGATACTAGGGGACTCCTATTACAATCAAGAAATAAACAATGGGTTGTTGTGAATGATTCGGAATCTAATCAAAGGAGAGATAGAAATAACAAGAGTGTTACAAATAATAATGATGTTATAATATTAGTCAAGTCAAATTGATACAAATTTATTAGGTCATATTTGGTGTATAAGATGATGGATATGATAGCATAATAATATTCTATATTATATTTAGTTTGTATTCAAGTAAAAAGGATAAGATTACAAGAAAGATTTATCATCATTTTAATATAAGATAATTCAATATTTTCAAAGTGAAAAAAATTATTTTTAATCTATTAGATTAAATTTACATGTTATATTGTATCCTTAAAAATTATATCAATAATTTAAATTATATAAATTTTAAAAAAAGATAATTTTGATTAATAAATACATTATTCTATTTTAATGCTTGCATACATTAAATATAAGATATGATGACATTATTTAAGTTAATTCTATTCATAATATCATTTTATTATATACTATCATAATCTTATATACCAAATATGACCTTAATACATTTGTATATAGATTATATTTAACTCATAATTAGAATAGAATTAGAACCATATTCTTAACATTTACAATTTTTTTAACTATAATATTATAATTATTAAATCATAATAAAGAATTATGTAAAAGTCCGTTACTAAATATGAGTTTCATATAAAATTTTGATACATTCTACATAATTTTAAATTATAATTAATAAATTATACTGCATTCATTAATATTCTTCAATTATTTTAATAAAAGTTCTCTCTCTTAAAATTTCTCTTATATGAGATACCCACCGAGACTCTAGATTTAAAGTTGAAGTTCGTGTGCAATTCTAATGGTTGTTTCATAGACAAAAAGAGTCAATAAATTATTCAAGAGTAAATAAATAAATAGATTTACAAAGGCTAATGAAGCATATATCGATAAATTGGTTTTGAGAATATTTCGTATCTTCTTAAATGCAAAAATTTTATTTGTTTTATGCAAACTATTTGTACTTCTTATATTTTAAAATGGACAGCATTAATGCACTTTAGGAATAGGACAGATTTTTTTCATGAAAAAAATTAAAAAACATAACTCCATGTCTTTTTGGCGAAAAAAAAAAAACACAACTTTTAATTATATTTCAAAGGTCATTCATGATATTATTTTATTAAAATATTATCATATAACTTTAAATTTATCATATTAATTTATTTGGTATTTTTAATATATCATAATAATATGATAATTCTTTAATTGTGAGTAATGACAATTGAGATCAAAAATTTTAGTGATGACACATTAAATATATTTTTTTAATTTTATAGTTAAGACATTTTAATTTTAATAATAATTATTTTTTTATTTTGGCCAACAATAATTATATTTTGTTTTGACGTGCATGCAAATTTGCTTTCGTGCAAAGAGCATCTAATGAATAATCCATTGTCCAAAACCGACAATTTCTTAGAACTGCGCGTTGCGTACATCCACATTCAGTTAACTTTGTGGGTCCATTTCCGTTTTTGTTGTACGGCTTTTGGCTGTCTCTTTGATCTTTCTATCTGTTTTTCGCCTCTTCTACCCTTCTACGCGTTTGCTTCACAACGTCCTCACGCGCTTCGCATGTGTCTTTCTTTTTTTTTTTTTTAATTAATGTTTTTTAGTATATAGAAAGTAAAATAATTCAACTATTCATAAATTATATGTATAGAATAAATAATAAAAAATGATAAGTATAATTTTTTTTTTTATAATTAATCAAACTATCAAAGCTAGCTCTAATTACTCATAAGAATTTTGAAATTAGTTATTGGGTTTTTCTTTTTAGCCACGTATTATAGTTTTCAATCTTTTATTATTTTATTTTTTTTGCAAAAAAAAATTGTATTTAGGAAATTATGATTTTCAACTTTGGAAATGAAGCAGAAGTATAAGATTTGGATCTAATTTCTTCTATTCTTTTATTGGATTTTTTTGTCTGTGACTGTAATCTAAAGATTAAAAAAATGATTGTAAGTGTTGTAATTTAAAATTTAAAATTCAAATCTATTAAATATTATTTTTTAAAAGTGATTATATGATCTTAAAGATTAATTTAAAATAATTGTTGCAATTGGAATAGTTTGAATTAAAAAAGCGCATTTAAAAAATATAATAAAAAAAGTGTAATTAAAAATATAAAATTTTTAGTATTGCAATAAAAAAGTATTGTTAGTAATTAAAATGTTTAAAATGATATGCTTAAAATAATAAAACATTAGAAATATAAGATAATATAATATTTTTATCTAAAAAATATTTTTTCACCACAAAAGTACTTTTTCGATAATTTTTTTATTTGAGTTGCAAAACAAATCTTTTACATTAAAAACCTATTTTTTTGTTATTTAGCATTAAGGCTAAGTTAAAAACAGATTTTTAATGCAAAAATTATTTTTTACAATAATATTAAACTAGACTTAAGTGTGAGGTTCGATTTAACTATCTTTTTATCCACATAATTTAGATGAAAAACACTAGTAAAACAAAATCACATTAAATATTTTGAGCTTAATAACACCATATTTGAGTTTGGAAGATTGAGTTTTGACTTGCAACCAAAAGCAATTTAAAATTTGAAATTATAGATATCTCGAGTGTTTTTCTTGTTAAGCATTGCCTTCTTTTACTATGTGGGGAGCTTAACATGATTTTATTTCTTTCTTTATTTTTAGCACTTTGTAATAATGTTGCGGTAACAATTGCGTGTCTATGTGGCTAAGTAACATTATTGGCACATGCAAGTTGGAACACAATCAACAAAGGAACAAAACACTAAAATTTAAAAAGTTGAAAGAAAATTTTAAAAAAAATATATATATGTAACTGATAAAATTTTTAAATTTTATAAATGAAATTAAACATTTTAACATTTTTTTGATTTATTATATTAAAAATTTATGCTTGTAATTAGATTATATCAAACTTTCATGATTATTCTCACGAAATCGAGTCTGTGTCATCAAAACTATGTGATAAATGCTTCAAAATCTGAATTTTTAAACCTAAAATTAAATCCAAAACTTCAAAACACAAAATGAAGTAACTCATCTCAAATCCAACTCAGCTAAGAGATAAATGGGTAAGCGTGGATATGGTACAAAAAAAAAAATTGTGTATAAATGTGTGATCACGTTGATAATGTACTAGGCACAAAGTCTATCTGTCTTGCCTCACTGTCTCCTTTTGTTTTTCTTCATTTCTTTATTTCCTTCCCACCTGTCTTCCTCCTTATATTCTCTTCTTCCCTCCCTATTCCCTTCTTGGAATTCCTCTCTTTTTTCCTTCGCTTTTTCTCTCTACCCAAACACCTCATTTTTTTTGGCTACATTTTTGGTCAACTAATTCATATTAGTAGTTAAAAAAAAAAAGGGTTTTCTTTGTTTTTTAGGGGGATAGAGCCATGACTATGAGTAACAATATTGGCCAATTTGGTGATACAACTTTGACCAAAGTTTTCGTTGGGGGGTTAGCTTGGGAGACGCCCAAAGAAGCCATGAGAGAGCATTTTGAGAAGTATGGTGACATCCTTGAAGCTGTGATTATTTCTGATAAAGTCACTGGCAGATCCAAAGGCTACGGATTTGTAAGTTCTATTTCACTCAATACACCCCGGGTGCAGCTGATTAATTTCTAGGAATTTTTTTAAAACTTTTTTTTGGTTGTTTTCTAGGTTACATTTAAGGATGCTGAAGCTGCTAAGAAAGCTTGTGAAGATGCCACCCCTATCATCAACGGCCGCCGTGCCAACTGCAACCTTGCCTCTCTTGGTGCTCGCCGCCCGAGGTCCGCCTCCGCAGCTCCCCTGCAGCAAGGTATATTTTCATGGCATAGTTTGTATTTGATATATTATCATATGTAATTATATACAAAGAAATTATCAAATATATTGTCAGAAAAAATTTTAAACTCAACAAGTGAGATTAATAAGATGATATATATCTTTTAAGGTGTATTTGAAAAATAAAAAATTAATTAAAAAAATATGATATGTTTCATTATATTAACCCATTTGTGAAGTTAAAAAATTTGATTGACAATATATCAAATAATTTTCATATATATATTTAGAGGTTAATTAGAATTTGGTATCTTATAAAATAATTTTAAATTTTTATTAATAAATGTTAGTTTTTATAAAAGAGATTGAAGTTTGAGATTAAAAAAAGTGTTGTAGGTGTTAAAATTAAAATATTAAATTTATTGAATATTATTTTTTAAAAAAGATTATATAAATTAATTAAATTAAGCTTCTGATTAAATAAATATAAATTTAATTAAGTAATAATTTGTGATTTATGGATAAAATATAAAATTATATGGTAAGGGTGGAGTAATAAATATAAATTCCTAAGCTTTAGCATAATTTGTTTTTAAAAAAAGATGGTGATGGCATTTTTGTAAATATGAGCTTCATGGGGTCTAATACTGTGGTTTTGATCATGAAGGATCAAATGCTGGACCGAGGGTCCCGTCAGCTGCACCAGCTAATCATGTCCAGTGGTATTACCCAGCGGGGACACCGGCATCGCCGTTTCATCATCAGCATCATCAGGCCGTTCCTTTTTACGGGTATGCCCTTTGTTTCGTTGAATTGTTGAAGTTGCATGTTATAAAAGGTAGACTTTATCGTATCGTATAATTTCTCTTTTCACTTGTTTCAGGTACTCTCCCACCTACATTGCCACTGATATCGGCTACAACCATGTAAGTGGGTTTTTTTCCTCTGCAGTTACAGTCTATGGTATCATTGATCTCACTAGCCATAACTAATTCCTTTTTTATGTTTAATTTTACATCACCCAAAAGAATTAAATGGTCCCACATTGACAATATAAATGTAAAAATTTTGTATTTTTCTTTTATTTTAAGTGAATCCATCCAAATTTTGCAAAAAAAAGTCTAAAAATGTGTTGTATGAATGGTGCAAACAGAAGGTTAGCTACACAGGAGGATCCTACATGAATGGGCATTTCTCTCAAGTGTATCCAGCAGGGCAGGCTATAATAGGTGCAAACACATTGATGCCAATGTACCCATTCTATCACTACCATCAATCACAAACAATGGGATTACCAGCTGCAGCCAACCACATCTTCCCACCAACAACAGCTGGACCCATCACCACAATCCCAACCGCCGCTATCATCTCAAAACCTGCTGCAGCTATTGCTCCTAATTCAGGTAACATCCATTGATCCTTCACGATGGTGACTCACATGTAACATGTTCACCTTCACCTTCTTTAAAAGAAAAAAAATTGGGTTTTTGTAAATTAAGTGTATGTCTAATGAATCATTGCGTCACGTGAGACCCTGATTGAGTTTTGGGTGAATCGGGTCCACTTGCCAACTGGCTCTCTTAGGAAACCCATGTGCATGGGTTGGGGACTAATATTTTGAACCATGTTCAGTCTAATTATGGCCTTAAACAAAAGATTCATAAGCATGGTCAAGAAAATATAAAGTAACTTTAAACTCCTAAAAAAGAGTTTTAGCTTTTGTTTTGGATGACTACAGAAATAAGTTTGTCATGTGACATAAATTTGTGATATAATTGTTGCTTCTATTTTTACATTTGTTTTTTTATTTAAAATAATCAAAAATTAAAATTTTATTATTAAAATTAAAAATCCAACATTTTTTCAAAAAATATTGTACCACTGCTAGTAAAAGTGTTTTATATTTGATTTGGGTGATACAAAAATGAAAAACTGATATTATAAAGACAGTTTGCTTGGCTGTGGAATAGGTGCAGTTGGCACAGGTGAAAGCTTTAAGAAGGTTGGCTGAAGAGGGGAACTTATTAGTTGGCAAAATAACAATGGGGGAAGATGGAAAAGCTGCTCAGAGCAACAATCTGATCTGTTGTAGCTCTTCTTTTCTATATATAATATTTTAAGAAAAAAATTATTTATTTTTAGATGTTGGATAAGATTCTTTCATTCTCTTTCTATCTTTCTCTCTCTAACATCTAAGCTTGAGATGTGAACCTTTTATGAAAAAAAAAAAAAGCAATGCAACAAAGTGATTTATTTTCAATTATTCATATCTTATGGGTTGTTTTTTTATGGCATTAGTGGGTTAAATCTACTTAAATAATATCTCCCACACATTATGTTATTATTTATTTTTCAATTATTTATGTTAAATGATTCAAAATTTAACTTGAATTTATTTCAAATAATTTATACAATCATTTTTAACAAGTAATAACTAATAAGTTTCCTGTTTAAATCTTAATATCTATGATTTTTATTATTAACTGAGACTTTTTTATATAAAAAAAGTAAAAAGAAATTTTAAACCCATCTTTGAGATTAAAAAAGTGACACATATGATATATGAAAAATAAAAAAACCAATCTAATAAAAAAGCAAGCATGTCATTTTCTTATAGGAGTTTAAAATTTTATAAAAAAATGAAAACTCCACGGATAATGTATAAAAATTAATTCTTACTTTAAATTTAAAAAGAGTTTTTTTTTTTTTTTTTTTTTTTTTTTATCTAGGACCTTTCGGTATTTGGTAATTACTTTGGACTCGATTAATTCGGATTCGAGTTAGATTAAATCTCATAAAGAGATAATTTTTCTCAAGCCTATTTTTTTATTCATAAGAATCAAAATCGATACCTTATTTAAAGAAAACTTAACTCCGTGTCACTTAGATTAAGGGGCATTTTATTCTAATTATATTTAGCCTACAACTAGGCCTGAATGGATATTGTTGGGCCAGGAAAAATTTTTCTTCGGGTATTGATCTTGGGCTTGTTTGGATTAGCAATTGCCCGAATTCTTTTTTTTTTTTTTTGTCTATTCTCATTCTTGGGTTTCATAATCTGTAAACAACAAATGTTTTTTTTTTTTTTTCCACATTACAGTATGGAATCCCAGCACAGTATGAGAATTCAGGATTCTCCCTGAACGTAGCCGGAACATTCCGTAGTCACTGACAGACATGATCTTGGGTTTGGATTGGATCCTTTGCCCAATGATTACAAGGTGATTTATCTTCGGATTTATTATGATTTGGAGAAGAGAATGGAATTGGACCTCGAGTGGGCAATTTATTAGGTCACACTCATCTTAAATCGCACTCTTTATCAAATTTCTAGATGTATTAACTGGTAAGGCAGTGACATAACAAAACTTTATCATCATCAAAAGAACATATTTTAGTACATGAACATCAAAATAACTGTCACCAAAATCCCCTGAAAATCCAATGGGTACATGCCACATGGAAGACAAAAGTACTATATACTTGATCTTTAGCAAACCCAAAAATTTGTGCAATTATTTTTTTCTGAAAATGATGACCAATCACTGAAAAGTGAAAAGGACAAGAAACCATTATATTCGGGCCTTACTAGTTTTTATTGTCTTTGGATCTCTTAAAGGATCACCCAGTTTTTTTTTTATATGGCTGAAGCCAACCTCCTAAAATTAAAACCCCAAACCCTCAAGCCCCTTTGATTTTCCTTCCCAAGATCTATAAAAGGTAAACATAAATTCTTCACCTTTTCATCTTATTTCTATAATTTATGTTGAAAGATTTAATCTTTTAATTTTTTTTCCTTTCATGCCCCCTTATGATTTCTCAGTTTGAAGTGCCTTTATATTTGTTTAGGGTGGTTTTGTCATTAGGGTTTATCAAAATTTCCCACTTTTTCCATATGGAAATTTTCCATCTTGGAGCTTTTTTTTTTTTTTTTTTGATGATTTTGACAAATACCCAGATTAGTTTTTCAATGGATGAAACTAAGGAGAAAGGTTGGTTTAGTTAGTAATGCTACAGAAATTGTAGCTGTTAGTGAGACTGTAGTTGAGTCAATGGCTTAATAATTTATATGGTATAAAAATGTGTCTTTCATAAGTTTTTTCTTTTTTTAAATTTCAATCTTGGAGCTTTGGTATTGATGATTTTGAAAAATACCCAGGTTGGTTATTGAATGGATGAAGCAAAAGAGAAGGGTGGTTCAGTGAGTATTGTTACAGAATCTCCAGTAACTGTTTGTGAAACTGTAGTTGAAACAGTGGTTTGTGAGGATCAAGTTCAGATTGAGGAAGGAGGGGAAGTGGGTGCTAGTAATGGAGATGATATAATGGTGGAGGTTTTGGGTTCTCATGTTTATGTAGATGGTATTTGTACTACTGATGGGGGAGATGGAGATCTGGTTGGGGCTGGTTTGAATGAAGCAGATCATGGTCGTGATGAGTCGGGTGAAGTTTGTTTGGAGAGTAATTTGCGAAGCTTAGATGGTGACGTTGATGCAGCTGGTGAGCTGGGTTCAATGAGTGAGGTTTCAGGTGATGAAGCTAAGGCTCAGAATGAGGTAAATGGAGCTGAGGTTGAAGGTTCTGGTGCACCTGATAGTTCTGCAGTTGGAGAAGATGGTGAGAATGCTGAATGTACTAGTGGAATGGATGAGGATGGCAGAGATGCAAATCAAGCTTTGGAGACACAAAAAAATGGTGATCTGGATGGTGATGAATTGAATCATGGAAACCAGAAAGCAGTTGTATGTTCATCAGCTGCATCTGAAGATTCAAGTATGCAAACTAAAGTTGTCAAGGAAGCTGCAATGATGATTGATGGGGAAGATTTGAATACCATAGATGGTGCTCGTGAAACTATATCTGGCACAACAAAGAAAGCTGCTGATGGCGATTTAGATCCAGATGCCAAATCCTTGGATGTGAAGACACAGCTTACTGCTGAAGAAGTTCCACATTCTGAAGCTAAAGGTATGAAAATTAGTGCTTTTGATCATAATTTGAAATTTCAAGTTGAAGAATAGAAATTAAGTTTGAGAGTGGGTGTTAGCACTGAAAATCTCTATAATATCCATGCAGATTCAGTTTATTCATCTCAGTCAATTGAATTGGTTGTTGAAGGCCAATTAGACGAGAAGGTACTTCCAAAATTTGATTAGGCCAACAGGAAAAATGCAAAAGTGCTTTTACCCAGCCTGACTCATTATCTTATGCAGGTTAATTCAAACATGGAAATTGACAAGCAAGGTACTGATTCTGAGAAACAGCAAACGGAAGCTAATACTTCTCACCAAAGCACTGAAAATCATGCTACAGGTGAAGTTGCAAGAGTTGATCATGTATTCTTCTCTTAATTTGAATTTTTTTCCTGGTTCCAACAATGTTGATTTGGATAGGGTTTTATCTTGCTCAGGAAATGACCAAAACTTAAAGGCTAAGACAGTCATTGACAGAGGAGAGGAAGTTGATTTAAGTATTGGGGAAGCAATGGATGTTGAAAAGCACGTTTCTGATACCAAAAATGTTGGTTTTGATGCAGAGCAAGATGTTAAAGTTCAAGAAGAGCCTGTTAAAATTGAGACAATGGGTGTGGGCACTGAAAATCACATAAATTTATGTCAAGATTCAGAATCTTTGGGTCACCAAACAGATGTTGTTGGTAGTGATGAAGTTGAAGCCTCAAAAATAGTTGATAACAATGTTCCAAACCAGATATCTCCCTCAGTTGGCTCAGATAAGGTGTTACATTCCTCAGGAAATGAAGATCAGCTAGCTAAGAATGCAGCTTCTGAGGATGATTCAAGTGCAGGGCAAGATATGAATGTTAAAGAACAAGTTACTGGTGATGAACAGGACAGTTTAGACCAAGTGCAAGAAATGGAAGTTGAAGAACATGATACTGATTCTGAACAGCCAACCAACATCGATGAAAAGACCGTTAAACGGACACCTCTAAAGTCTGCAAGTGCAGTAAAGGTGCATCAAGCTAAGTACCAGCTGCCATTGGAGGAAGAAGGTGAATTTTCTATTTCTGATTTAGTCTGGGGTAAGGTGAGGAGCCATCCATGGTGGCCAGGACAGATATTTAATCCTTCAGATGCTTCTGAGAAGGCAGTGAAGCATCATAAGAAGGATAGCTTTCTGGTAGCATATTTTGGGGATCGAACATTTGCTTGGAATGAAGCATCTCTTTTGAAGCCATTTCGAACACATTTCTCTCAGATAGAGAAACAGAGTAATTCAGAATCATTCCAGAATGCCGTCAATTGTGCTTTGGAAGAAGTTTCTAGACGGGTAGAACTAGGTTTTGCTTGCTCTTGCATACTGCAGGATGCCTATGACAAGATAAAATTCCAAAAAGTTGAGAATACTGGAGTTCGGCAAGAATCAAGTTTAAGAGATGGTGTTGATATATCTTTGAGTGCTAGTTCCTTTGAACCTGACAAATTAGTTGACTATATGAAAGCATTAGCGGAGTCTCCATCTGGTGGGGCTGATCGACTTGACCTTGGGATTGCTAAAGCTCAATTGTTGGCATTTTATCGTTTAAAAGGTTATCATCAGCTGCCTGAATTCCAATTCTGCAGAGGTTTAAGCGAAAATGAAGCAAATACCTCAAATTCTGAAGAAAAAATGCACTTTGGTGAGGAAATTGAGCGTGCTACTCCTATGGATACGGATGGTGAGCAAATTTCCACTGGCCAGGAGACTTCAAAAACTCAGAGAAGCTCTTACCTTAAACGCAAGCATAATCTTAAGGATGAGTTATATCCTAGTAAAAAGGAAAGAAGCTTGTCTGAATTGATGGGTGAGACAGTTGATTCTCCTGATGGTGAAAATGGGTCTGATGGGATAGCTAATAAGCTCCCTTCATCATCATCTGGCAAGAAAAGAAAAGCTGTTGATTCCTCTGAGGACTTGGTGATGCAGGAAGGGAGGAAGACAATTTCTCTTACCAAAGTAACTCCAACCACACCTCATTTCCCAAAGCCTTCCTTTAAAATTGGTGAATGTATCCGTAGAGCTGCAAGCCAGATGACTGGATCTCCATCGATTCTAAAGTCTAGTGGTGATAGGTTACAGAAGCTTGATGGAGGCAGTGAAAATCCTGCTGCAGATGGATGTGATGCTCCCATTGATAATTTTGAGGATGGCCATCGAAAGAGGATGAATATTACGGCTGAATACTCATCACTAGATGAGTTGTTATCACAACTTCACTTGGCAGCATGTGATCCTATGAAAAGTTTCAATTCTTTTAATATTGTTATTAGCATCTTCTCTGATTTCAGAGATTCAGTTGTTCTGGATCAACTTCCTGGGGACAAATCTGGTGGCAAACGGAAGAAGTTGCCCAATTCTATTATTGGTTTTCCAGAAACTTTTGAGTTTGAGGACATGAGTGATACGTATTGGACTGACAGAATAGTCCAAAATGGTTCTGAAGAGCAACCATCACATGGAAATGAAAGGGGACAATATCAAATTGTGCCTGTTGATTTAGGGAAACCACTACAAAAAGGCCGTAAGTCTCGAAAACGATATTCTGATTTCAATCATGATTTGACAGCACAGAAAGCCCCTGGTTATGTTGATGAGAGGGCCCCGGCAGAACTTGTTATGAACTTCTCTGAGATTAATTCTGTTCCTTCAGAAACAAAGCTAAATAAGATGTTCAAGCACTTTGGACCATTAAAAGAATCTGAGACAGAAGTTGATCGCGAAACCAGCCGTGCCAGAGTTGTTTTTAGAAGATCGTCTGATGCAGAAGTTGCCTACAATAGTGCTGGAAAGTTCAACATATTTGGGACAGTGGCTGTAAATTATCAACTCAACTACACTATATCTGAATCATTCAAAGCTTTGTTGTATGCTCCAACCCTAGCTGAGGAGACTTCCCTCATTGCTTCAGCCCTATGTGGGGACCATGCACTGGTTGCTTCGACCCTGGGTGAGGAAACTTCACTCATTGCCTCAAGCCTAGGTGAGGAAGCTTCATTCATGGTTTCAACCCTTGGTGAGGAAACTTTACCCATTTCTACAACTTTCCATGAGGAACCTTCAATCATAGCCTCAACCTTAGGTGAGGACACTTTGGCCATTCCCGCAACCTTAGTTAATGGAACTTCAGTCATTGCCACAACCATCTATGAGGAAACATTCCCCATTGCCACAACCATGTATGAGGAAACATTCCCCATTGCCACAACCACATATGAGGAAACATTCCCCATTGTCACAACTGCAGGTGAGGGAACAATGGCTGTTGTTACAAGTGTTGGTGACCAAACTTTCACAGTTAATGCAACTGCAGGTGAACAATCTTCAACCATTGTCACAACTAATAGAGAGCAAACCTTGACAGTGGCCTTGACCTTGGTTCGGGAAGCTTCTCTCTTCACCACAACCTTGAGCAATGAAACTTCAACCATCTCCACAGCCTTGGTTGAGGAAACTTCAACAGTTAATGCAAGCTTGGGTGAGGAAACTTCAACCGTGGCTACCTTAGGTCAAGAAACTTCAGCCGTTCCCACAGCCTTGAGTAAAGAAACTCCTAGCATTCCCACAACCTTGGGCGAAGCAACTCCTACCTATCCGGTGACATTGGCAGAAACCCCTAACATTCCCATAACCTTGGGCGAAGAAATTCCTGATCTTTGCACAACCTTGGGCGAACATACTCCAGCCATTCCTGCTACCTTCAGTGAAGAAACTCCGGCCATTCCTCCAACCTTCAGCAAAGAAACTCCTACCATTCCTGCAACCTTGGGTCATGAAACTCAGACCATTCCTACAACCATGGGTGAGCTAACTAAGACCATTCCTGCAACCTTGGGTGAGGAAACTACTACTGTTCCCACAATCTTGGGCGAGGAGGAAACTACTACTGTTCCCACAACCTTGCACAAGGAAACTTTGGCTAAGGAAACTCCAATTATTACCGCGACATTGGGCGAAGAAACTATGAATGTTCCCACAACCTTGCATGAGGAAACTTTGGCTGAGGAAACTGCAATTATTACCACAACATTGGGTGAAGAAACTCCAACCAATCCTACGACCTCGGGCGAAGAAACTCCAACCAATTCTACGACCTTGGGCGAGGAAACTCCAATTAATCCCACAACCTTGGGTGAGGAAGCTTCAACTGTTCTCACAACTAATGTTGAGGAAACATCAACTGTTTCCACCACCATGGAAACTGAGACTTTACCCCCTGCCGTGGCTGAAAGCAAGGAATCTGCAACTTAATATCTCCTGTCAAATTTACTTGGATATTTCTGGTATTACTTTTCTTCTTATCAGCATGGAGGTTTTTTTACTTGATGGTTTTAGAATTACTATAGTTCTCATTTGGTTTTGCACAAACCATTATGGGAGACCATCTGAGAGTGTGGTTCAAGTGATTTCTTGCAGTCTCTTTCACTTAATTCATTTAGTTGATTAATATGGTTGACTTTTTACCTCTTTTGAATATTTTAACCATTAAGTCATTGATGGTTTATATTAGATGTTCATCTTGAATCGACCTCGTTTTTAGATAGCTACATAATTGCTGCGTCATGGGATTGTACCAAATATAGTTGATTCAGTGTTTTAGTGGTGTGAAGTTGGATGAATAAACTATGAGTTGGGCATAATGATTGGTGTTTCCTGAGACAAATTATTCTCTTTTATTTATCTGCAATAGTGTCTATCGTTTTTTTTTAATCCTATTCTTGTTCTTTTGATGCAATTGTTATAGGCGAGAACACATCCTGAGGTTCTGATGTCAGTGTGGCTCTGGTAGGATTGATTCAACTTTCCACTGAAGAAGGCAATCAGGCAGACAGCTCATCTGGTGCAACTTGAATCTTCTGCTCGGATTCTTTCTTGAATTAAGCTCTAAGCTGCATGGTTTATACACATGCACCGGCTAGTGTAATATAATCGCATTTTAGATGATGACCTTTCCATGGATGCTATCCTTGAGGACTAGGAGAATTGCATTGTATAATCAAGCTGCCTATCTATTATCGTGCATGTCGTACAACCGATTACGGATCATTGTGCCAGCTTTTGCTTTTGGTTCCTCATGAATTTCTCCTGACATGAGAAAATTAATTGCCATGATTCGTAAAACATGAGGGTTGTATTCCACTTTTTGCTAGATCACAAGCTTTTTTTCCTTCATGGGTATGAAGAAAAAGACTCAAATGACCCAAAGCACCATGTTTTTCAAGAGATTGGATTATTGTAAGGAAAACTATCTCATGCATCCACCATTAAAATATTGAAAAGGGTTGTAGGACAAAATATGTTAAAAGAAACTTGGGAACTTTGAACAAAAGAAATCTTGGAATTAAAGATTTAGTCTAGTTTATTTAAACTTTATATTCAGTAAATTTAAAATTAAATATTTATATATATTTTATATTTAGGTTGCAATTTTTTTTCAAAAAACAGTTAACCGTATTTTGGTGAATCTGACAGTTTCATTCCCGGTTCAAGGCCATCTCCGGAACCAGCTTCTACACGTTTACACATTGCCTTATTCCATAGACCAGTAAGTATCTATGAGTTTTAATCACATTTTCCTAAGGATGGCAGATTAATCCGAAATCGTCAGGTTCTGACTCAATTTTATAGGATTTCTATTATGAAGATGCAGAAGGCATTTGGGATTTTGGTTTTTCATTTCAATTCGAATGTCAAAACTAAATAAACATTGGTGTGGCATTTTGTGATTCAAACTAGGTGATTTTGGCATAAGAGTACAAGAGTATAGCATTGGAATTACTGTAACATCGGTTTGTTGATCATGTTTGGATGATGAGAAAATCACTAACATTGGTGGTAAAAGTTGTATAACGCAAAGAAACAATTCGGTTCTTGAACAAACTTGATAGGAAACAAGCATGCACCTTTTGCAATGAAGAAACTGTTTCAAGAGCAAAGGCCCTTTAATTTTAACCTGCTACAAAATCCCAAACTGAAAATTTGATTTTATTTTATATACAAACGAAATCAACCTGCCGGCCTTGGGTTTTCATTAAGAAAACCTTGTGCCTTGTGGGCCTAAAACGAAAACAAAGTCTCCTGTGATATTATCCTCGATTCTGACAGTCTAACAAAATTTACAGATGGGCTACGTTTAATGTCAAAATAAAGTAGGTAGTTTTGAGAATCAAGCCCTTTGGACAATCATTTGCATTCACTTAATCCTGATAACAACTGTGAATTTTTTTCATAATCTAAATCCATCCTCTATTGAAGCAGATTGATGCGATTTGAATCGAAACAGAAAGGTTAAGAGTTTGACTGGAATTCACAGCTCGAAGTTGAAAGCGAGTTTGATTAGATATTAATTTTCTAGTTCCGATCTACCTACTTGATCTCATTTAATTAAGCTTGGAATCAAGTGAAAAATTTATAAGCTCAAGTTCAATTTTAAGCTCATTTACTCATACTTGAGATCGAGTTTCCGATTGAAAAAAATATTAAAGCTTTTTTTTATAAATAACGAGAGTAAGTTGTTAATAGATAATTAAAAAGTAATTATATATAATATTAATATATATTATTAAATTATTAAAAATAAAAAAATTCAAAAAAACTTTATAAATTGTTTAAATATTAAAATATTTAAACTTAACTCGATGAATAATTTAAATTTGAGTTTAACTCAAAGCTAACATTGATCTAACCATGTTCAAGTAATTCTCAAGCCATGCTCGAGTAACTAAGAGTATCTAAATCATATACATCACCAAATTTGATTTCAACATGGTTTTTTTTTTTTTTTTTTAATATTTCAGGGAGGATTTGATGATAGAATTTTAAGCAGAAAAGAACACTATTGAAGTTGCCAATGCAATAATAATAATAATAATAATAATAATAATAATAATATTATTATTATTATTATTATTATTATTATTATTAGCTATAACCGTTGTTAAATGAAGGACTTATTTCTAGCTAGGAACATTGTAACAACCAAACTTTACCAATTAAATTAAAATTAAAATTCACATAATTATATACTTCAATACCAAAACAAAAAAAATTTAAAATTCCAACTTTTAAAAAATTTTCATGAATAGTTTGCTATATTTAATCGTTTGTATTGATCATATTTCGCCTATTTACTTTTGCCTTTTTGTATAATAAACTTCGAAAAGGAATGATCATGCAAAAAGGTTTTGATTAAATTATTGGAGAATGTGGCAAAGAAAGAGGAAAAATTTGATTAACCAAAAAATGTTTCATCTTGTGTACAAGGTAAAGAAAGAGGATGAGCTACCATCCAACTTAGGTCAAATTATTCATAGTGGCAAGGAGTTTGATACATGCTTGGTAGAACACACGATGAGAGAAAGAAGCTCATTCACTTCCACAGTATAATTTGCAGCTAGATAAGAACAGGTTTTGGGTAAAGGATTGTCCGAATTCAAGGGGATTTTATATTAAAAAAAAAAAAAATGATTCATAACGTGTACAAGGTAAAGATTTTGTACCGATAAGCAATAACTGCAGTTTTTTATATTTGAAGTTGTAAAGATTTAAATCCCAGTCACTGAAACTTAAAAGTCAAAACATGCTGCTGCTGTTGTCAATAACGACAGTTTTCATGGTTTATAGGACTAAAGTATATTATATATGTTGGTATCAAAAGAAATTGCTTCTCAAGTACCAAACTAATCAGAAAGTCCAAACCAAAGGCACAATGAAACCTGCATTCTGGATCCGTCAAAGATACCGAGAGATTCAAGCTGATGCCATGTTATTGCTCATCACATCATCTGAACAATGAGTTAAAAGGGATTTCAGTTCCAGTTCTTTGAAGATAAATGTTCACATTTGCAGATTTATAATTGAAAACATCTAACAAAAAAAAAAAAATTATGGTTGAAAACAAGCTGTTCAATAGAAAACTAGCATCAGATATATAACTGATGAAAGGTAGATAAAAGATATAGACCCTAAGTGCATTGCACCTGCTATCCAGGTCTAAGCTTTCAATCTTGCAGATATGATTTATTTAATAAGAAGACTTCTTATGCCAGGAATTTCTTAAAATCCCAGAAAGCATAACAGTGGTAAGACTTTGAATTGGATATATTGGTAATCACCTTGAATAAGTCGCCAAACATCCCTTGAAGGGGATTTCTACGCTGTACACCATAGAACTTTTCAGCAATGTCATCTAGCAACTGAACCATCATGTTTGTGTTAGAATCTGATACACGTAAGCTTACTCTAACCCAAAGAGATGATAAAATCGATAAATAGAGGCTATTTAGCAGATATATGAAAATGGTTACATCCTAAAGTAAAAAACTTGTTTTACAAGAGGGGAAGGGAAATAACAATCAGAATAACAGTACTCTAATTGGTAAAAATGATTGCCCACCTCGTTGAATGGAGGTTCTCTCTCTATGCTAGACTTGTAATTACCTTTCAACATATTAAAAAGAGGCAAGGCATCTCTTTCCAACCTGCACAGAAAAGACCCTTCAGATCAATTTATCAGACCATGTTCCATACACCAAACATGGAAAGAATATGGTAGCCTACCTCTATGCCCAAAACGAACTGCGGTGATTTTAACTGAAAGAAAATGGAGATGGTATTGTTTGATGGATCAAAAAGTAAAACACAAGCATTAATCAACACTCAAGGTTGCAGTTGTATGGTTTTTACAGCTCCCCAAACCAAAACCAAAAACAGTTAACAGTATAGTTTGGAGATGAGAGCAGGTTAAGTTATGCTTTCTGCTATCACTAATTATATTTAATGCCAATGAAGTGTAATCCAAGCATGCAAACCTTGAAAATCAGACCACTTGCAGACTTGAGGATAGTACAACTGGTCCCTATAGATGAAGAATGAATTGATGAGGGAAAAAAGAAAAATAACTTACGTTAGCAAGAGAAAAGTGATAAACTGAATCAAATCCGATTGGGGGAAATCAAGCTCTTGGGATGCCACTTGTCTCTTTAATTCATCCATAAGGTAATTAGCATCGCGAAGATTACCCATCGACAGATACCTACCACGCAAAAGTAAATTTTCTTCATTAGTACACAATGTATTACTACATTATAAACAGAACAGTCTCAATTTTATTGACAAGTTTGTACTATATGAAGATTGAGAAAACACTAAAATCCCTATCATTGATGGAAATTTATAACAGTTTCATATCAGTTGAATGATTCCATTCGTGGATTTTGTTTAGCCTACACAAATGAATCAAAATATGCTAATAGATCAAGCAATAAATGCTAAGTTCTAATTGCACAATCCAATCTACTTTTGATATCAACAGAAAATTTCAGTCCATGTTTTCTAAATTAAATAAAGAAACCCATATATAGGTCGAAAGTGGTAACTGTCTCTTTACTGATGCTGTCAAAATGGCATGGCAAATTATCAGTTTAAGTTCATAAAACTACATGAGGTCACTTTGATAGGGGAAACAATGGAAGACATGATATCTAATTGACCATATAGGTTTGACAACTGAAATTTAAGCTTTAAGGTCAAGATTACAAGGTTCCATTTTATTGATTGTGCCTTCAACAGTAGTGGCAATAGGAACAGTATAATTACAGGCCAAGTGAGCAGTTTATCAGTGAGCTTACATAAGAACTGCTCGTGCAATGGCTATGTCGTCTTCACCAGGATAACACTGCATGATTGAAAAGTAAATCAGTTGATTACATTAAAAAAGTATCAGGGGAAAAGTAATACCTACAGTCAATCATAGAGATGGAACATGAAATTCGTATACATTGATTGATTATGCCATCTTCCATGCATTTCTTAACCCAAAGTCTTGAATTATTTAAGCACTCATCACTAATGTAAAGAGCAGATTTGTATAGCTTAATTCTCTTGAACAACTCAAAGGCTCTAGTTGAGATTTGAGAATGAAAGAAAGAGTCTTAAAAGTAATAAAGTAATTTCAACAATAATAAGTAATAGGCTTAGATGTAGATTTGCCGTAGCAGTAGTAACACAAGCAACCAACTCTGAAGATAATCGAAATTTTCCACAATATATCTACAAATATAAACTATTATGCATCTATATCACTATTCAGCTGTTACATGTTATATTGTTGCACAAGGGAATATGACTTTGATTTGTGTGCCTCAAACCATCTTCATGACAAGGAGAGAGAAAGAGAAGAAAATTAACCTTGCTCATGAAATCTACTAAAGTAGATGCAAGCTTCTTTGGGTTTTTTCCTCTAACAAAATGATATGACACTCTGGCCATGTCCTGCAAAAAAAAAAAAACCATCATATGATCATTGGCATCAACATGAATGTTAACTAATGAATGGACCTGTGAACTATAAGGATACTTTCAAAGGCTTATATGGTAAATAAATGAAAGCATCTAATTTATTTGTCAAAGCATTTTTAGCAGAGCACACTGTCACCAAAATAACAGTAACTCCAATTACCCACAGCAAAATCCCAACCAATTAGTTGAGTTTGCTTGCAATGGAATTACCAATGTTCTAAAGACCATCACAAGCATGACATAGTTCAGACAAAATCCTAAAATCTAGGTACATGATTAATGTTGATACAGGTTTCCATAGATGTAAATATACTTGTTTAAACAAACCAACAAAGATGGTGATATCATTATTAGTATGTAGCAAACAACTTATACATTAGAAGAGCAACGTACCTGTTCTTTTACACATTTTAAAATGAATTTAGGTGCAAGCATCTCCATCAGATATAGGGTGTTCATACATACCATACCAAGCGGCTTCTACTTTTTATTCTCAAGGATATATGTCATGCATTTATTGAAGTTATTCATAAATGGCTTTCATTCCTTCGGAATGAAATCATAGCATAAGATCTACATTTTGAATATGAACAAGAGCACAACCTTTAGAAGATTACATGACTCAGGATATCATATCATTAAATCCTACAAAGCAATTATATTCAACTCAATTAAATTGATCAAATAGACTTGCTTCATCCTATTCTGTTGCAGTATCAATACGGATAAAGTGCTCTACAAAAACTTTTTTTCTTATTTTATCTTTTCAGTGCCTCTATGCCATCATTTTGGCTATCTTTTATGAACTTTAATTAATTAAAGTTTGAGCCGGAACCAATGTAAAAGACATGAATGTCTCACATAATATTAGTGCACTTCTTCACAGCATTAAGTTGGTCACTAGTGTACAATGTATGTATTGCGTAAAACATCAAAATATAATGTATTTTTACATTTTTCTTCACCTTTTAAATTAGGATAAAAAAAATTCATGAAACTGATCCATGGCAAGCAAGAAAGGGACAAAGAACAAATGTGTGGTTGAAGTAGCAAAAGCAAAGTCTAAACATTTACTTCCAAACCTACCAACTCAGGAGATTCAGAATATATGTATTCAGCCAGCATAGCATGCAGTTGTGGATCACCATTCCTGTGAGCGCCAAACTCTGCAGACCACCTAAAACCCAAAATAATAAAACAGTTCAGGGAAAATAACCAGTACTATTCAACACAAATAAAAAATTAAAATAAAAAACTCCTTTATTCTCTCTCAAGTTTTCATGTCTTTCAATTCCATATTATCTTACTCAGTAAGAGTAAGTTTATGATCATAAACAGCCTGATCTTATGCCTCCACAGATATTGCAATGTTGCAGTATCTTTTAATCACAATCAGGAGAGGCTGTGATTCATTTATCAAATAAATTTAACCACCTAAACAATAGGAATAGGGGACAGGCTAAGCATTGTCCTGTAATTCACGTCAAACAACATAACCAGACTGGTATAAGAGCAATTGGAAATCCATCTAGTACATTTCAAAGCATTCTCTCATAATACATAGCACAGAAATCATTAAAAGAAAGAAACTAGCTGATCAAAAAATAAAATAAGCAGATCTCTAGAACAGTTTAACCATCAAGAAATGAGTGAAAATATCTTGGACATCTTTATGCTGAAACAAAATTTTTCAATAAAACTATCAAGTGTAACTCAACGGTATAATATGGGAATGATGTCTCACTTTATCGCAGCTTTTAAGAATGATGAGCAGCCTTGCAGACGTGTTTTTGCTGCCCCAAGAGCTTCAGTAAGTTCTTGAACATCATCATCATCTGTCAAGTTTCTAGGAACTGGAATCTGAGGAAACACCTTATAGATTTTCCTGACACGATCTATACATTTTATCATAATCACAACAACAGAAAGAGCAGAACTAAACAAACCAAACAGCTATATATAAAATAATATAATTAACTTGAAGATTTTTTTCCTATATAAAAGATACTTAAGTCATCAATAAGAAGGGAGGGTCCATAAACTATTCATCGCAACTTATGCTGATAAGCAAATCAAATTATAAGACAAGGCATATACTGACCAAGGATGCCTTCATCATATGGAATTTTCCCTTTGACAAGTGTCTCAACAAACAATACTGCAAGCTCTGCCCCACAAGTAACCTAAAAATTTTCATTCCAGTGACTTCAATGCAATAACCACAAAGTAAAGGACAAAAATTAAGAAGACCAGCAAAACAAATTTCCTCATGCAAATTTCATATAACTCTAGTTTCCACAGCAGAAGAATCTTTTTTAAGTAATTATCAACTAAAATCCAATCAAATATATCAAAATGAAAATTCTTAGCCTGCCTTTCTCATAGAATAGTGGGCTCCAGTAGATAGCTAATATATCCTAGCTTTTGCAGCTCTAATTTGCACCATTCTTACATCTGAAGTTATATTTTGACTAAGAGGAAGATCAACGAAACATGTGAAGGGTCTAATCATGAAATATTTGCAAATACTGTATTGATGTTACCTTATATTTGTTTCAATTTAATTTTTACACTACCCTTTCCAATCTGAAATAACCCAGATTTTAAGTTGATGATTATCCTAAGGAGATTAAACAAGTTCAACCAGTATCCAATCATCCTCAATTCATTCTGAAACCAAATTTCAAACAATGAAGGTCAACTTCATAATGCTTTTGCATATAACATTGAGAAAAACTTTGACTAACAAGCTCCGGATCAATGTACTTGAAAGAAATAATAACCTGGTCATGCTTCAACTGAAGGCATGCACCTGAATGAAGCAGATCCAAGGCCTCAGAATATCTTTGAGCAGATACATATCTGAAATAAATATGCATGTTTCATAATCAATGTAAGTATTCGAAAACAAAAGAAAATAACAAACACACTCTGCGCTATTCTTACCTTTATCTCTATTTTACAATTGGAAAAAGAAAATGAAAAAGAAATGAAAAGTCATATTACTTGCTGCCTTAGTTAACTACTAAAGCAGAACCCTAAATCAAAATTGGAAACAAAGAATAATGCAAGTAGCACACTAAACCTACTCAAGCGTACAAGCCTTTAATCAAACTATAAGGGGACCTACCCCATTAAGCTCCATCTAAGACTCTAAGCACATCTAATACCTATGTTGCTCTAACTTTTCATTTTCTCTTAAGTCCCCCTGTCCAACATATACGATGGGCGTGGGCGTCCGTGTGGACACGGCTTTCCAACCCTCCAAAAATAAGGAAATACTTAGAGAAAATTTGGACGTATTTGTATCTGACATGCACTCTAGAGTCCTAGCAATAAAACTAACGCCATTTCTTGCAATTTGTAAGTCTAAAAAAACATAAATTTGGGAAATTGCAGACAATTGTACCGTGCACTTATAGACTTGTACATCTGCTGAGCTCCATAGAAATTACCCTCATTTATAGCTTTCTCTAATTTATCAATATTCTGTATTTCATATCACAAGCAAAACAAGAATCCAATTAGGAATCATTCCTCATCATAACAATAAAGTCCAATTATACTTTTATATATAAAACTCCACTCTTCAATGGTTTTATCTTAATTAGAAAAAAAAAAGGCTTGCTTTTTCAAAGATTAAAATTTTCCACATCTAGAATGTAAGGATGCGCCTGATATTAAAAACCCAGAGATAAAAATAACAAAAGGTTTAAAATTTCCTTCTTTTAAATGAAACTTTCAACCAAAATCCAACACCCTCATTTTCTCACCAACCAAACAAAGCCTTTGGACCTGGTACAAATATGTTAAAAATAATTCAAAATCATCAGTTTTTTTTCAATTTTCTCAGCTACCAAACAAATGATGGGTTATTTATTTTTTCTTCACTAAAATAATTTCAAAAAACAATTATTGAAAGCAATAGTTAAAAAAAAAAAGAAAGAAAAACAATACCTCTTGAACATGAGGAAGAGTGGCTTTTCTTGATTTCTCTCTTGACATTTTCTCTTTTACTTGATTTCCTCTTTCAGTTCTTCTTCTTCAATGGGAAAGACCTGATTTTCCGAGTTTGCTTTGATCAACGTGCAATCTCGAAGAGTCCAAACAAAACCCAAAATGGGCTGGGCCTCTTTCAACAAATGTCTTGGGCCTTCTGTTTTCTTTCTTTACTTCATGGGTCAAATAAAGAAGTAACGAAAATTGCAAATAAAATGTGCTCGAAAAAAGCTCTAATCTGAGGTAAACTCTCTCTTTAGTTATCTATGATTGGGAACCTTTATTATTAGTATTTTTTTTCTTTTATTTTTGTGTTAATCTTTAGTTTAAACGATTTGAATTTCTTGGTTTTTCTTAAAATCAATAGTAAAATTGGTTGAGGCTAAAATTTCAATCAGATTTACTAATTTCTTCAAACTGTTCGATAAAATGCCCGAGAGAGAGTTAGTTTTGACATTGTGAAGTTATTTATTTTTTTTCTTTTAGATTGAAGGGCTAGAGAATGGGTTCTCACCAAGTTCAGGCAGCAACTAAAGTATATCGTGACCTTCTCAAAGCAGTGAAAAAACACATTGGAAATGAAGAGTACAAGAAGCATTTTAGTGAGCATATAACGCAAGAGTTTAGGATGAACTGTCAACTTTCAGACCCTTCTTTGGTTACCAAAAAGATCAAGCTTGCCAATGATTATACTTTTTTACTTAACAGTGTGCATCATCACAAGGTATTGCTATCTTTCACTGCTTTGGTTTTATTTTCACATGTCTTAATTTGATGCTATGCTGAGACTCTTCTGATTGTTGCATTTACTAATTGCTTTTTAATTTTTGGCATCTGTTTCTCGTTTATTTACAATTTTGTTAAAATATGTGCAAGTAAAATTATGCATTTTGCTATCCACAAAAGATAAATTCTCTCATTTCTAATTATCCAAATATGTTGTTTATTTTTATATTCTTTTCTTTGTTTAAGCGATAACCGTTCCTAGACTTTGCCCATTACATTCTATGCGGGTCCAAACAGGCTTATTAAAATTGGTCTAGCAAATTCATAGAAAATTACCTTTCCCTCGATCCAAAAGATATTGTTTATTTTATATTCAAATGGGCTTTTGCTTTTGGTTTATTTAAACAAAAGGTAAACAGCAAAACTAGTAATCAAAAGGAGTCTAAATCTTGTAGTTTAGTATTGGTTGTTGGACAATATGTTATGGGAATATGGCATGGTTTTGCTAATTTAAAGAGGTATGAAAAGCATAAAATTTTCTTCTAAGACTTTAGGATTCCTGTCATTGGTTTCTCTAATGAGGATATAGTAATGATTTCCCTGGTTTTTCTCAGGTTTCTTCCATGGACTATGGTATTTTATATCCATTCATGCTACCACCTAATGCTTCATTTTTGTTCATTTCAATGCCAGAAATTTTCTCAAAGAAATGCATGTGATTTTCTTCTGGTTTTGATTCTTATTTGGCAGGAGTTATTGTTTTCTTACAACGTAGCAGTAGATAGGTCAGATGAAATGAAAAGAATACTTGGAAAATCAGCGGCTAGTGTTGGTCTTCAGCTTCCTGAGGTCTATCAGCCTTGATATCAGTGGAGGATAGTTTTCTTCATCCTCTTTATCTTGGGGAGAATAATTTTGCCTCTGCCATTCTATAAATGCTGAAAACTCAAATCAATTAGATTCTTGTTTATATCTACAATTTATGCTCTGCCAACCAATTGAAACCCTGGATTGGTTAACTTGTTTTTGCATTGTGGTTGAATTGAACTTGTTAATGCTGCTTGAACCTTGAAGAAGCTGCAAGGAGCTGTTTTGTTTGAAAGGGGGAAACGTTTATCTGTGTTTCTTCATCAGGAATCATGCTATCTCATATTCATATGCTAATTTTCGTGCGACAAGTTAACTATTTATCTTGTTCTGCATGATGTGTTATAATCCTTGGTCGAAACTCCTGATATTAAAGCAGTTATCATTTGAGTTAAGCATCCGTTTTCAGTGTTTTGCAGTTGTATATTTCCATTTTCCTGCAGTAATGCTAGTGTTGTAGTTGTTCTATCATAACAGAAATCAACAGCAAGCTTTTGTTCTTTTTAACAAGGTACAATTTAGAGAGGCGATTCAAACCGAGCTTTTTTAGCTTAATCAGGAATATCAGCACCTACCATTGGCCCTAACACCTTGGTACGGCAAGCTTTTCTATGTAGAAATTGTTCGAACAAAACTCCATTGATTGCCTTAAGTCCTTATAACCTGTAGCTGCATTGGGTTCTGTAATTGATGCTCTCTGGGCCTGCAACTTGTTTTTTTTACTGATCCAAGTGCATTTAAATAATGGACAAGCTAGACTTACCCTTTAAACTTTTTAAGTCTGGAAGTGTTTTTTTTTTTTCTTGTTCTTGCTATTAGATATGATAATTTATGTATCTGTGATGAATTTATTTTATGTTAAATATATGTTAAAGACGAAAATTAATATATTATAATTTGTATTGACATTTTAAACATGAAATATATTAATGTCATTTTTATCGAATTCATATGATTTTGATTAAAATATTTAATTGAATTGTTTATATATATTTATATTATGTCATCGTTAAATGTAAAATTATGTTAAATTAAATTATTTTTATTTTTTTTTATGTTTGTATTATATTATTGTATTATATTTAAAATTATCGGCTCTACTTTTGATAGTAGTGGAAGTCCGGACTAAAAGTTTGATAATTTTATACCAATATCTCACTTCTCCGAAAGTTTCAGCCACCAATTGGCCGACAAACTTGATGCTAAATCTTAGAATTAAAAGCTGAGTAGCAGTTTTCACGAGTCAAAGGAAAAGCACCAGAAAATGCCCAAAATGCCAACATACGTGTCAATCAGATAGTCACGTGTAAGCCTTAATCTCTCCAATTTTGCCACTTGTCTTTAATCTGCTTTTCCCTAAGCAAACAAGCAAAATTGCCACTTCCTAAATTTAGCACATATTAACAAACTTCCTCCAGATTGACAACTTTCTACCAAATCAAAAGAAAAAAAAAGAAAACGTTAATAGTTGAAATGGGTTCAGAGACTTTCTTAGAAGTAATTCTGGCAATTCTCCTTCCCCCTGTGGGAGTTTTTCTTCGTTATGGCTGTGGGGTAATTCTCTTATCTTTTCTTAATCTATAGTTCTATATTATATCATAAGCGTTTTTTTTTTTTACGTGTGTTTCATTATTTTTATCATTCTCTAAAAAAAAAAAAATCTCTCATTTCTATTAGAATATCCTTAATATTCATATGATCCTTGTTGAATTCTTAATTTTAGTGATTAAATTTAAATTCTCACAAGTTCAATTGTATAAAAAATTTTTTTTTAATGTTTTAATGCTTAAATTTTGAAATTTCAATTTAAATTTGTCTGAGCTTAAATCTTAAAATAAGAATAATAGAGATTTATAAGATGGCAAGGTTGCTTTTATTTGATGAAAACATATTTAAATCATATTCAAACATCATACATCAATTAATGAATCAAATATTCGAATATAAAAATATATTAATTTTATGTTGTTAATCAAGATCAGATGCATTATATAAAATTCTCAATATATAGTTTTTTTTTTCTAATATTATATAAACTTTTGGAATTTCAGGTGGAATTCTGGATAGATGTGCTGCTGACAATGTTGGGTTATATTCCAGGGATAATATATGCCATTTATGTATTAGTTGGATAGCAAATGCTAAGATTTTTGTATGCTGGTAGAGTAACTTTTTCTGCGTTTGTTTTAGATCTTAATTTGTGTAGTATTTATTTTTAATTTTTTTTTGTTACAAACAACAATTGCATGCAGGTTAGATATTTTTCAGTTTGTTGAATAAAAAATTATCATTACAAACGATGATTTCAGGCATTAATCGAAATAATCAAATTGAGATAACTAATTGAATCCGATTTGATTTTTTTTTTTTTTTTTTATCGTTCTTACTTGAGGGTGTATACAAAGTGACAATCGATTTAAAGCTTCGACTTTTAAAGCGAAAGTAAAAGTATAAAATGAGCTAAGTGATAAATAATACGTTTTTTCTTCAATGCTTTTTGGGAATTCGTTAAGGAGTTATGAAAAAAGTAATTTTCAAAATTTGTTAAGATAGTGAAGATCGGTGTAAATAAATTTTCTGAATCTATCGAAGAAGAGAAGGATAAATCGAAGGAGAAAATTTATAAATTTAAAATCAATAAATAAATAAATTTATTTATATCTATTAAAAAATTAATTGAAGAGGAAAAGGAGATAAAAATTTTTAGATTAGAATGAAATTTTATTTGAATCGGACCGAGAAAAAAAAAAGATTAGAATGTAAATAAATTTATTTAAACCAGTTGAGAAAGAAAGAAATATAAATTTTTGAGTTAGAATGTAAATTTTTATTAAAAAAATATAAAATGATAGAGAATTTTTTATAATTCAAATCATAATAAATTTTTATATTTAAAAAAGTAAAAAAATTAAAATTGCACAAATAAAAAATATTAAAATGTAAAAAATTTATTTAAAAAAGTTTTATAAATTAATTTTCTGAGGCCACTTTCATATTTCTTGAACACGTATAAGCCAACAAACTTTTAAATTTCTTCAGGATAAGACAAATTGGTAATACTATTAGAAATTAGGGTTCTATTTTCATCAAACCAGTACAAATTCGAAAATTAAAGAACGTTTTTAGTTGCGCTTCCAATTTTTTTTATAGGTATAAATGAAAAGTGATTTAAATGAATTGTTTATAAACATATTTGATTTTTATTTATTTATATTTTATTAAATTTAATAAATAATTTTAAATAATATTTTTATATTTATTTATTAAATAAATTAAATACGAATAAAGATTTATTTGATTCGTTTATATTCGTGAATATATTCATTTAAAATTTATTTATTATTTATTTAATGTTCATTTGTTATGCGTTTATAAAAATAATAAAAAAATTATATTTTTATATTTTACCTTAATTTTATTTTAAATTTCGTTTATATTTGTTTATAGTTTATTTACTTAAATTTATTTAGGTATAATTTATTTATTATTTATGAATATATTTATTTATATATATTCATGAATATATTTATTATTTATGAATAAATTCATTTAACTTAATCGAACAAAAAATCTTATTATTTAAATAAATTAAGTTTGAATGAATAAAAAAATTTTCTTATCAAATAAGAAACAAATAGACCCAAGTTATACATTTGTTTGTTCATGATGATTCATTTATAGAGTTTTTTTTTTTTGAAATTATTTTTAAGTAAAATTATTTAATTATATTTTTCCTCTCAATTTTAAAATTTTCTGATATCATGTTTGATAAATTTTATAATTCATGGAATATGCATATACGGCAAGTTATATAAATTTTCAAATTTTCATATTGGATAAAGTTTTAAAAAAATTACATTTAGGGTTCAAAAAAAAAATTCAATTGAGAGAAAAAAATCATATAGAACAAATTATTTAAAATAATTATAAGGTCATTTACAAATTAATAGACAAATTTATTCTTGATTTTGATGATTTGAAACAAAAATTTTTAAACTTTTGGATATTCAAATCAACTTTTAAATTTGTAAATTTTGAGATTTTAAAAACTTCATGATTTATAAATTTAAAATTAAATAATAAAAAAGAGTATAAAAAAAAGAGAAAAAATAATTAAATAATTTTATTTAGAAAAAATTTTGAAAAAAAGTTTGAAGAGAAAAAAAAAATGCAAAGAAGCTCTCAAATTAAACTACATGTACAAAGCTAAATCAATTGTTAGGGTTAGGATTTACAATTTGCACCAGCAGGCACTTCCTCTCATCTCAATCTCCTACTATCATATTTCAGTCTCAGTGAGGTTTTTCTTGCACCAGCAAAAATGGGGTTAGTTTTTTTTCCTTATATTAATTTTATTTTTCTAAAAAATGTTATTTTTTGTTCTTTTCAATTAGATCCTTGCATTTGAAAAATGCTAGCTTTGTGAATTATTTCGTGATTGCCCTTTGCTTTGTTTATTTCAGTAAAGTAGTCGTTAAGATCTAGTTTGTATGATTAGATGATTTGTGGGTCAATAATGCTTTCTCTTTTCCTTTTGTTTCTGTTGTGTTTGGTTGTTGATGAAGTTGTGAAGTTTGTGGGTCAAAATGTCTTTAATTAACTGTTTGGTTGATGGGAAAATCATGGAAGAAGGAAATGGAATGTGACAAATTTATTATTCTAGTTGTTGTTCAGGATTTGTAGATAGAAACTTACGAAACGATGGTTAATGAACTTTGGAACCATTGGGTCGGGTTAGGTTATTTATATTTGTGGACCTTTTATCTTTTTTTGTGATGCATATGTATACTGAAGATCGCTGTTGTGCAAAGGAAATTCATTTTTCGTTTATCCATTTTGATGATTTGGCTTGGTAGATAAGCCTTTATGAGGTGATTTGTGTTGTATTTTGGGGAAATATGCTGACAAAGTGGGAGTTTTGAGCAGGCAGACTTGTGGAATGGGAGCTGGTCGTAAGTTGATAACCCACCGCAGGAGGCAGAGGTGGGCTGACAAGGCATATAAGAAGTCCAGTCTGGGAAATGAATGGAAGAAACCATTCATCACATGCCAAAGGCATAGTTCTTGAGAAAATATTAGAACTAAGTTATGCTTTTGATGATGTTTTAAGGGTATTGATCTAGCAGATCGCGCTTGAATTTGATGCAGAACTTGACAATTTTGTTACTGGCATTTGCAGTGGCATTGAAGCTAAGCAGCCCAACTCTGTTCTCTGAAAATGTGCTCGTGTTCAGCTGATCAAGAATGGGAAGAAATTGCTGCTTTTGTACCCAATGATGGTTGCTTAAACTACATTGAGGATAATGTAAGTTATACACAATTTTCTGGTTGTTGTCATAACTCTTCTGATCTTTGATCCATGTTTTTGTCTTTGGTTAATGTTTATTGAGTGGAATTTCATTGATCCCTGTTCATATTTTCTCAGTCTTTGGGATGTTTTGTCTACTGGTATGATTTGTTAGTTAAAGAAAATTGTGAAAAGGTTGCTGTAAATAACAGGGTCTCCTTTTAAGTGTTGCCTAATGCCATGCTTGGTTAGATTTGGTGCGGGATGAGGTTTTGATTGCAGGATTTGGACGAAAAGGGCATGCTGTGGGAGATATTCCTGGATTCAGGTTCAAGGTTGTTAAGGTATCTGGCGTGTCTCTTCTAGCTCTTTTCAAAGAGAAGAAGGAGAAGCCAAGGTCTTAGGATTACTGGAAGAGTCTAGCTTTCATCATGGTTTACCAAATTTTTGTTTTCATCAAAGTGGTAGTGCTTGGGATTTTGTAATGAAGGATTTTGTGAACCATTTTTCATTTATCATCTAAAGTGAAAATTTTGATTAATTGAGTGATTTACAACTTTTCAACTCTGATGATATCATGGATGAATGCATGATGCAGGCATGCAAGTATTGAAATGTTGCTTGTAGTTTCCTGCATTTGGTATAGAATACTAGTATGCAAGAATCAATTAGTAATTTGTAAAAAACATTGCATGAATTTATAATTGAATCTCCTCAAATCATTGCTTTATAAAGCTGCAGGTTTCGGTGCAATGGCTCGTGTCTCTTCGGGTGGGTTGACCCTGCAGGATCCGGGTTCAAATTCAGGCTTTTGTTTAAACTTAGCCTTATCCGCTTTTACCATAGAAAAAAAAAAAAAAAGAATCATTGCTCTCTAAGGGGTTGGCTGTTTTTTGATGGTACCAGTAATAAAAGGTTTCAGTTGAAAGGATAATCGAAAGAGACAAGGAGGATCATTCAGCGATCTTAAACAGAACATTAAAAATATTCCGCCATGCATCGGCAAGTGCTCAAATTTGTTTTTTTGCTTACATTAGGAACAATCTACTTTCAGCACTAGCCCTGCAAAAATCCAAGAGGATCTGCATCCCAAGCACATGAAAAATGAGACAAAAATACACCCTGTTGAAATGAAATAACTGAAAAACCAAATTTAGTTTCAAAAGCAAAGGCTTATAGGTCAGAAAATCCTCTTTTACTAACCAAGCATAAACATGTCCTTAACAATAATTTGAGAAAATTGAAGACACTGTATAAACCATAAAAAAGAACTCACACTCTTTCGATAACAACAAGACTCTCCTCGTAACTGTGAACCCGAAGAAGATCTTCTCCACCTTCCTGGACTTTAATACCAAGCTCGCTGAATTCCTCATTCTCAAGATCATAAAGCAATAACTGTCCACGTCCGGATTCTACGAATACCTTACCATTGATCCAAAACCCAAACATCCTTTCAACATCTAAAATAGGTTCAATCTTCAAAAGTTTGGTCCACTGCCCATCCTCATTCAACACCCAAACCTCATTACTTTTGTCACTTTTATCCCTCATCTCAGTATCCCAAAAAGATATACGATCATGTAATGGAAGCAGCTTCCCACTAGATTTAGGACAAGGTGACTCCATCAATTGAAAAACTTCAGTGCTCAAATAAAATGCAAGGATCTTACTGTCAGAGCCAAACTTGGATATGTCCCAGTAGCAAACACCATTTACACATGCGTTATCGTTGCCGCAGCAAAAAGATAGGTCTTGTAAGAACTGAACATCTTCCTTTTTCAATACTCTCCATGAATCGGTGCTCATCCGGTAAACGGCATAGCGAGGTGGAGGTGGTCGTACAATATCCTCTAACATCAGATAATACGCCATATAAATCACCTTGTAATCATTGGACAAAGGATCTAATCCAAATCCAAGAATATCTGTACTACTATTTCCTTTTAGTGACATGTCCGGATAACAATCAGGGAGAATCCTAAATTCTCTTGTGGCGGGATTCCATAGAGTTATGCGACAATTGACCTCATCACATAAACAAATTAAACCATTATCCACACGTAACTCAAAAACATAGAGATCAGCAATATGTGAGGGCAATTGTTGATGCAAATCATGATAAGAAACAAGGTTTTGATCAACAAACAAACGCATAAGAATATTATCATTGTTGTCATCGTGATAATAAAGAAGAAGACGCTTATTCTTTTTGCTAATGCTAAGATGCTGAGAAACAAAGCTGGGATTTTGAAAGAGATCACACCAAGTTTTTGCCACACACTTGAAACGAAGGATAGACTTGACAGGCAATTTCAAGAGAATCTCAGTCAACATATCCGCAGGCCAATCACCATTGCTCATCGCCATTAATCCAACTCTGATTCTTTCTCTATATCTCAATCTGCCAACAAATCCCAAACTGAAAATTGAGAGAAAACAGTTCGTTAAGTTTAATTGAAAACCACACAAGGTTTTTGACAATCAATAAAGGAATAAAAAACCAAAACGTGGAAACATAGAGAGACTTACAGTCAATTTGATTAAAGCTTGATTAGTAACAAATAAAAATGAAACAAGACTGCTTTTACATGTAATGAAAAATTCCAAAAAGTAAAAGATCTGAGTGGATTTTTCTTTCCAGATTAATAAGAAACTTATTTTGATATTGAGAGAAAAAAATTAAAAAAAAAAAAGGAAGAAACGTAGGTAGGTATTAATAGAGGGTAAGCCACAATTTTATAAACAAAACCACCGACCTCCGTGTCAGGATTTAATGAACAAAACTATGTGCTTGTGGCCCCAACACTTCAACCAAAAAGACTATAATTGGGTTAAGGAAAGGAAACTTACAAATTGGTGCGGTGGAACGAGAATGATGATTTGTTACCATGTTAAGAGATACTGCTTTTACATTTTGACTCCGAATGTGAACCAATGGCCATGTGAGTAAAATGCTTTTTCAATATTCAATAAAAAATTTTACTGATAGTCAGTTTAAATGAAACATAAACATAAAAAAAAATTTAGGATTTAAATAATGCTAAGAGTTGTAAACAAAAAATATTATTTGTTAAAAAAATAACAACTTTTAATAATAAAAAAATCATAAATTTTATTTATGCTGATCAATTCTTTCAAAACACAGGTAGTGGGTAATTCAGCAGCCCAGATATATTATTCCAGAATCCAACATGCATATATACAAATGTGTGGCCCAGTAGAATTGCCCACAATTCTTTGATGAGGTTGTGCACTTATCAGAAAATGTGATAGTTTTCAAGTAAATCGCTGGACATTACAATCTCCGAAATGTAGGGGTACTTTTACGGTAAGGTTAAAGTTTTTTATTTTATTATAAAGTTGTTGAATAATAATTATTAGATATAAAAAATTAATATAAATTATTAAAATTTTTAATTATGAAAATAACTAATTATCTGTTAATTTATTGATTTAATTTTAATTAATTATATAAAATATTATTTATTAAATAAAATAAAAAATTTTAACAGAGAAATATAATTTATTTAAAATTCCTAAAAAAATAAGATAATATAATATTTAAAAAAATTTAATTGAAATTTGATTAATGTAAAAATATAAGAATTATTGTACAATTAGTGTCGTTTAAGATAAATGTGTTGGAAGTGTCATAAAACCTTAAAAGAAAGTTATAAAAATTCTAATCTAATGAAAGTATGAACAAACGTAAAGTGATATTATTGTAACATAAATAATTAAGTTGATAACATAAAAAAGTTATTATCTTAAACCCAAATAATAATTCTAAACTAATAAATAAATGTTAATGTAAAAAGATAAAAATAATTGTAAAATTTGTGTCATTTAATGTAAAATAAGCTAGAAATATTGTAACATTATAATAAAGAATTGTGATAATTATAAACGTAATAAAAAGTAACAAGTATAAAAGGAGATTATTGTAACAAAAATAATTGAATTGATAATGTAAAACAAATATTATTACAAATAAAAAATAATTTTAAACTAAAAAATAAAAGTTAATGTAAAAAATAAGAATAATCGTAAAATTAATATTATTTAACGTAAAATAGTTACAAGTATTGTTACATCTTAATAAAATATTGTGATAATTTTAAACATAATGAAAAGTAACAATAAGTATAAAAAATATTATTAAAACGTAGATAATTAAATTGGTAATATAAAAAATTAGTATTATAAATAATAAATATTTCTACACCAAAAAATAGGTATTAATGCAAAAAGATAAAAATAATCATAAATTAAGTATTTTTTTACAGTAAAATAATTAGAAGTATTGTAACACCTTTAAGAAAAAATTATGATAATCCTAAATGTAATGAAAGGTAAAAATAAACGTAAAAAGATATTATTATAATATAAATAATTAAGTTGACAATAATTTTATTATTATAAATAAAGATAATTTTAAACAAAAAAAGTTAATGTGACAAAGTAAGAGTAATTGTAAAATTGGAATCATTTGGCATAAAAGTGTGTTAAAAATGTCGTAACATAAAAAGGTCATAATAGTTGTAAAATTGGTGTCACTTGGCATAAATTGATTTAGAATTATTGTAACACCTTAATAAAAAGTTATGATAAATTTAAATATACTAAAAAGCAAGAACGAGTGTAAAAAAAAATATTATTGTAACATAAATAATATTTTTGGCAACGTAAAAGAATTATTATTACAAATAATTAATAATTCTAAACTTAAAAATAAGATTTAGCATAGACAAAGGTAAGAGTAATCATAAAATTTGTATTATTTGGCATAAAATGGTTAGAAATATCATAACACTTTTAAGAAAAAGTTGTAATATGTCTAAATGTAATAAAAAGTAATAACAAACGTAAAAAGATAATTACCTCGATAGTATAATTTTTTGACTTGTAGATAGTCTTGAATAATTATCATGTATTAAATTAATCACATTCTTTTTAATAGTTTATATCTCTTTTAAGTAATTTTATTTACTATTTGTTGTTTACTCTTCAAAATTATAAATATTATCTAATAGGGGTTCAACTAAAAGAAACAATAATACTTACTTATACTCCACAACTATCCACATGATTTTTAGCATATGATTTGGGATTGATTCTCTCTGATTCTATGTTTAAAAAAAAGTCTTAAACAATAAAATTATTTTTGAATTTAATTGTTTTCTTAATATCTCATATACTTTTAATATAATTTTTTATTTTAGAGCCTATCTCTCCATGTATATATTAATTATTTTTTGTTCAACTTAAACATAAGGTATTGAATGTTTATTTTGATATTTTAATTTTATTTATATGTTAAAGTGTTTAAGGTTTATGTTATATTCAAAACAAATACTATATTTTATTTTGTTATATTTGACATTACATAATTCTAAATATATAAATTTTGAGTTGCTTATAAAAATAAAATTTTATCTTACAATTTTAAAAAATTTGATATTTTATATAAATTTATTGATATATAAATACACTCTTGTCTATTGCACAAATATCACATGAGTTTAAAACTAGTTATATATTTAGATTAGAGTACTTATTATAGGCAATTTAAATTCAAACTTTTCAACATGATAAAAAAAAGTGAACAACATCATAGTTCCTAGAATTAAATTGGATAGTGACCCATTCAATGTTATCAATCATTGAATCAATAGCTTAATCGTTAGATCATTTGAATTAATTAATATTGTTGAATTAATAAAAATATTTTAAATTTTATAAATATTCTAACTATCTACATAAAAAAACATTTTATGATATAAAAATTAGAAATCATTATCAATGAAAAAATACAAAAGAAGCACTTATAATTATTGTTTGTTTACTTTATGTATCATATATATATATATATATATTATTTTTAACTCTTATTTAAAACAAATTAGTGAATAAGAAAATAATAATAATTAGTAAAAAAAAGTTATGCTATGTATTATTTTAAAATTATTTTGAAAATAATATTTAATTAAAAATAATTAAAAAGTAGACAAATCTTTATTTTTTTTCATAAAACTCTTAAGTCAAATGCACAATTAATAGTTAAGTAAATAATGGTTTTTCCAATTCACTACTTTGGGTACTTCAATTAAATTTGATAGACTTTATTCTTAATGGGGTTAGATTGAGTGTATACTTTGTATTTGATATCGACAATTACAAGCAAATACATAATTTCCATGTCAATTTCAATCTTGTTTCTACTTGTGCAACTTCAATAGTATTCTTTTCCTCCATTTTTTTTATCTAATTATAATTTTAAAATGCATTTCTTCTTTATTATATATGATAGTCATCTCATAATCTCTCTTCTTTTCTTTTTTTTTTTTTTTAAATCTGTGTATACGTTGACTAATATGTTACATATCACTTTCACTTACTAGGAAGAAAAATGGTCAATGTGAAAGAATTAAACTTTTGATCCAAATCGAAGTTGCAAGCTAAAAATGATTGTATTATATATGAAAGTGATAATGTTATTCTTGTTAGGCAAAAAGGCCTCATTCTAACTAAACATTCATATCAGTGAAAATAAAATCAAACAATCAATCAATTATATAAGATATAGTAATTTAACGTGGTTCAACCCAACCTTTACATCCATTGATGAGAAAAAAGATTCATTAATTATAGAGAATTACAAACAAACATCAAATCAAGCACTCACAATTAATAGTTATAAGCCCTTTCAATCTTCTCTAATCATATAGAATATTTTCAACCCAAATAAATGTATACCTATGTACACCCATACACCATACCTATGTGAACTCTCTCAATCCCTTTTAGTCCACTCACAAACACCCATAAGATGTTCTAGTAGTCTTATAGGGTGTTTACCTATAAAATTTTACAACTTTCTTACATCTTTTTCTTATACCTAATCTTATAGAGACTCTACCTATTTATAAGTATACATACTTGCCTATCAAGAATCTTTTCTTCTTAAATTCTTCTATTGCAAGTTTTTTTGTCCATCAAGCAAATATCTAACAAATTTCAAATAAATCTCTTATAGGATTTGAGTCACTATTTTCAACAATCTCCACATTGACTCAAATTTTATCAAATCATCGATCTTCATACTAAACATGCTTGGCTCTATCTGCAACGAAAGTCTCATAACAATCTTCTTTATGTGTTTTTATGTTTCACATAAATCGATCTTCAAAATACGAACTTGAACTCTTCCTTTGATTGAGCTCTTTTGGGCTTGCCTCTTTTCATGTCTTGAACTTTAAGCTTTTATATCACTTATTGGGCAAAAAAAATCTCATTTTAATTAAACATTCACGCCAGTAAAAGTAAAATTAAATAATTAATCAATCACGTAATAAATAGTAATTTAAAATAGTTTAACCGAACCAACTTACGTCTACAGAAGAGAAAAAATATCCATTAGTTGTAAAGAATTACAAAAAAATATCAAATCAAGCATTTACAATTAATACCTATAGACTCTTTCAATCTCTTATAGTCCTATGGAGTATTCTCAATCCAAACAAATATAAACCTATGTGCACTTATGCATCATATCTATGTAGACTCTCTTAGTCTCCTTTAATCCATTCATAAACATTCAAACTTATATACCAAAAAGATGTAAATCTCCAATAGTCTTATGGGGTGTTTACCCATAAAATCTTATTGCTCTTTTACTTTTTTCTCTCATACCTAACCCTAGGGATGTAATTAATCGAG